CATCTTTTCCAATTTAACTAATAATTCCCCATGTGGCACTGTATCAAACACCTTACTGAAATCTAGGTAAATTAGATCCACTGCGTTTCCTTTGTCTAAAAAATCTGTTACTTTCTCAAAGAAGGAGATCAGGTTGGTTTGGCACGATCCTTTTGTAAAACCATGTTGTATTTTGTCCCATTTACCATTGACTTCAATGTCCTTAACTACCTTCTCCTTCAAAATTTTTTCCAAGACCTTGCATACTACAGATATCAAACTAACAGGCCTGTAGTTACTTGGATCACATTTTTTCCCTTTCTTAAAAATAGGAACTATGTTAGCAATTCTCCAGTCATACAGTACAACTCCTGAGTTTACAGATTCATTACAAATTCTTGCTAATGGGCTTGCAATTTTGGGTGCCAATTCCTTTAATATTCTTGGATGAAGATTATCTGGGCCCCCCGCTTTAGTCCCATTAAGCTGTTTGAGTTTTGCTACTACCTCAGATATGGTAATATCTACCTCCATATCCTCATTCCCATTTGTCATGCTACCATTATCCCTAAGATCCTCTTTAGTCTTATTAAAGCCTGAGGCAAAGTATTTGTTTAGATATTGAACCATGCCTAGATTATCCTTAACCTCCACTCCATCCTCAGTGTTTAGCGGTCCCACTTTTTCTTTTTTGTTTTCTTCTTATTTATATGGCTATAGAACCTTTTACTATTGGTTTTAATTCCCTTTGCAAGGTCCAACTCTACTTGACTTTTAGCCTGTCTCACTTTATCCTGACATGTTCTGACCTCAAGAAGGTAGCTTTCCTTGCTGATCCCTCCCATCTTCCACTCCCTATATGCTTTCTGCTTTTTCTTAATCACCTCTTTGAGATGCTTGGTCATCCAGCTTTGTCTACAACTCCTGCCTATGAGATTTTTCCCCTTTCTTGGGATGCAGGCTTCCGATAGCATCTGCAGCTTTGATTTAAAGTAATCCCAGACCTCTTCTACCTTTAGATCCATAAATTCTTCAGTCCAACCCACTTCCCTAACTAATTTCCTTAATTTTGAAAGTCAGCCCTTTTGAAATAAAAAACCCTAGTTGCAGATTTATTTTTGTTAATCCTTCTGTTCAGTTTGAACTGAATTAGCTCATGATCACTTGAACCAAGATTATCCCCTACAACCATTTCTTCTGTGAGGTCCTCACTACTCACCAAAACCAAATCTAAAATGGCATCTTCTCTAGTCTGTTCAGCAACTACTTGATGAAGGAATCCATCAGCTATCGCATCTAGGAAAATCTGAGCCCTATTATTATTACTAGCACTCGTCCTCCAGTCTACACCTGGGAAGTTAAGTCCCCCTTGATCACGCAATTTCCATTAGTATTTACTTTATTAAAAACATTAAAAAGGGCTCTATCCATATCCAAATTAGATCCTGGCAGTCTATGGCACACCCCAAGCACTATCCCAGGGGAAACTCTAATAGTTTTCTTCCCCACTGTGATTTTTGCCCAGACGGACTCTGTCTTATCCATTCCATCGCTTCTTATTTCTTTACATTCTACCTCATCATTGATATACAATGCTACTCCACCACCTTTACCTTTATTTCGGTCTTTCCTAAACAGCACATACCCTTCAATACCTGTAGTCCAGTCATGACTACTATTCCACCATGTTTCTGTTATCCCTATAATATCTGATTTCACTTCCTGCACCGGTAGCTCTAGTTCCTCCATTTTGTTACCTAGGCTCCTCGCATTGGTGTACAAACATCTTAATTTTTGCTGTTTGGCCTCGCTCACATTTTGTACCCTATTAGGCACGGTCATTCTACAGCCAGTATAACCTATTAGACTGGTATCCACACTGCCCTTCCTCCTTATATACATTCTCCTACCCACAGCTGTATCCTTTCTTACTTTTTTTTTCCCCTCTCAATGCTAAAATCCGGCGTGGACATCTCCCAACCATCTCCCCCAAATTCCTAGTTTAAAGCTCTCTTAATCAGTTGTGCCAACCTCCATCCTAGAAGTCTATTTCCTTCCCTACTCAGATGAAGTCCATCCCGAGAGAACTGTCCTCTGTCCATGAATGCCTCCCAGTGGCCATACATCCCAAAGCCCTCCTTAGAGCACCACTGCCTAAGCCATCTGTTGATAGTCATAATCTTGTCACACCTTTGTTGCCCTTCTCTAGGAACAGGCAGAATCCCACTAAAGATTACCTGAGCCTCGATTTCCTTAAGCGTCTTCCCCAGCCTAGCATAGTCTCCCTTAATACTTTCCAGCGAGAATCTAGCCATATCATTTGTTCCCACATGAAGGATAATTAGGGGATTCTTTCCTGCTCCCTTTAGAATCCTTTTCAACCTCAGGTCTACATCCCGTATCTTAGCCCCTGGAAGACAGCACACCCTTCTATTCTCTGGATCAGTTCTGGTTACAGGCCTGTCTATTCTTCTCAGTAAAGAGTCCCCGATCACATAGACCTGCCTTTTCCTGGTGATGGTGCTATTCTCCAGTCTATCCCCTGTTCCCTCTGGCTGCAAGTTCTTTCCATTCCTATTCTCCCTTGTAATCCTCTTCAACCCATCCTGTATCCTCCTGGGGCTCATATTTGGTGTAGTCTCCATTGACTCTTCCCCTTTTCCTATAGCACAAGCCGCTCGTCTCTTCTTCCTTGCCCTTCCACCTTCAGCGACTACCTGCTGAGCCCCTTCTTCATTTTCCAACTCTGCAAACCTGTTCTTGAGCTCTATTTCTCCTTCACTAGCCCGTCTTTTCCTCTGCCTGGTTCTTTTAGTCACATGCTTCCACTGACCACTTTCCTCACCCAGTTTCCCTTCAGAATTCCCCAACCCTGCTTCTATCTGCAAGTCTGAGCTTTTCCCTTCAGATACCTCATGTCTTTGCTCCATAATCTGCTCAAACCCCTTCCTAAACTCAACCAGACTTTCCACCTGCATCTCCAAACCTCGGATCTTTTCCTCCATCAGCTCTATCAGACGGCACTTCATGCAGACAAAACTCTTACCAGGTGCCCCCTCCAGGATCATGTACATACCACAGCTTCCACATCCAGTCATCCTCATTGTGTCTTCCACGACATGGGTCACTCCCACTGCTGCCTCTGTATCTGTCATAGCCTTCCCACCTCAATCCTGTTAATCTGGGAAACACAAACCACACCAAAACACCACCACCCACAGCAAAACCAAATCCCAAACAAGCACCACAAGACAAACTCCCCTTACAAACTCCCACTCAAACTCCCCTGTTTATAGCTCCGTTTGCTGGCTCCTGTGCGCTACAGCTGTCTGTGAGGCACAGGCACACCCTTGACCGATTAGGCCTTCTTGGGGAGTGGAGAGGGAGAAACAGGATGACTAGAGGTACTGGTTCAAATAATCATCCAACCCCAATGGATTAGCTCATTATCTCTACCCCTTGATCCTGCACTTATACTTTCGTTCTCCTCCCAGTTAGTATCGGGGGAGGCTAGGATGACCAGACAGCAAGTGTGAAAAACTTGGGGGTAATAGGAATCTATATAAGAAAAAGCCCCAAATATCGGGACTGTCCCTATAAAATCAGGACATCTGGTCACCCTAGGGGAGGCTTTTCTATCCTCCCTTTCTCTATGGCTTGTAATCTCGTGTTTAGGTTTCTCCAGCCCCTCTGCTTATTTCCACCTCATCTTGTCCTGCAGGTTTTCTTTCCACCCAATAGTCCACCCATTTGCTTCCTTAATGGGAAGGACTCTCAATCTGTGCCCAGTACATCTTTCCACCTCTTGCTCCCAGGGGCACCTCTACCACAGGGAAGAATTTCTCGTCCCCACGTCGACATTCAGTTTTGACCCTAGCTCTGGGTAGTATCCGGAGGTGCTTTGCTAGCTCCCACCTGATTAATGAACAGGCTGAAGCCATGTGCACCAGAAGCTTCTGGTGCCTCTTCCCTACCATTATCCAGACAGTCGGAGCTTTCTCTTTTTTTGGCCTGGAAGTCCCGTCCCAGCAAAATTCTGCAAAGCTCCATTCCATGTGTAGGCAGTAGTCTCTTTTTGTGTGCCCTTCACATCCACGGTGGAACACACTATGGTCCGAGCCCCGGATGGAGTTCCTCAGGTTCCTCCCTCTTCCTTTAATGCCCTTTCCCACCTCTTTCCCAGGTGTAGTCCCTTAAGCCAGTGATCCTTTCTGGGAATGTCTGCCTCAGCAAGCTCCTCGGTCAGTTTATCTGTGGCCTCCAGATTGACTGGCTGATGTCACCTGAGCCGTACTCAAGGAAAGTCTGTAGAAACTGTTCCAGATTCACAGGCTCCATACTCTCCCCCCACAGTTTCTGTGTCTGGCTGTAATCAATGCACAGCCCAGTTTGTTAATTACTGGGCAAATGCACGAGGCCATAATACCCCCAGTCCACCTTGTGGTACTAAATTTCTGGCGGTACTTTTCCATGGACAGGCCCACCTGGGTCCAGGATGGCTGCCAGAACCATGTCAGAGCGTCTCGCCTGCTCATCACTGAGAGCCAAATATGCTGCAAGTGCTTCCCTGGTAAAATAGGGTGCCAGCCAAAGGGCCCTCACGGGTCTGTTCCAACTGGCTCCTGCTGCCACGCTCTTAAAGGTGACCAGAAACGCATCAGGGTTTTCTGCAGATCCCATATTATGGAGTCCTGTGCCCGGTTTCTGCCTCCTGCCACGGGACACACCAAACTTTGCAGGGGTTGCACTGAACCTGGGCTTGCTCTCTTCTAAATTCCCGCAGGATCTTTTGCTGCTCAGCCTGCCAGGCAAGCGCAAGGACTGTTCCTCTGCATGGGGGGGACTGTTGGGAGGTCTGCAAAGCCTTCTGCATTTGTCCTTGCTGCTCTCTCAGCAATTGCTAAATTTCCTCCATTGCTGGCCCCCAGACTACAACTCAGAGGTTAGGTCAGAGGTTCAAACAGCAAACTGAAAAGACCATTACTCACTTATTTTGCTGTGGAAATGAATAACTAGCGAAGTACTAAGCTTAATATTTATTTTTCAAAATCACTAAAAAACCCCATATTTATGGAGATGCAGATTTACAGAACAGAGAAAGCAACTTTTGAAAATGTACAGTCTATTTCATATTATTGCACTCACTTTTTTATAATATACAAGGCATTTTAAAGGGGTTTCAATAAAAGAAGTAATATTTATATAAATAAGTGTCAATATACAGTATCATACAAGAAGTGTATCATCTTAACAGAACACACAAAACCTACCTAGATTGGGATTCCAATGTCTCACGTGATCTACTCTAATCCTCATCAATATTTTCATGTATACATTTACATACCCTAAATGCACAAGCAGCTAAACATTCCAACACCTGGCTGTGGATGACTGATTCAGCTTTTGGAGAGGGGGTGGGGAGAAAGATTGCAGAATGTTATCAGGACTAATTCTGAATGAGGGCTGATTGGAAATGTCAGTCACACAAACATTCTTAATACTTTATTACCCTCAAAAGGGTTTTGATAGGATTGGGATGAAAGTAACCAGCCATACTGCCTCCTCCCAACTTTAGGCTTAATCCTTTAGCCCTTAACACAGATACAATTCACAGAGAAGACAGTGAGAGGTTTTCATGCATAAGGACTGCAAGATATTGTATGCCCAGTATCATACTAGAGCCCAATCCCCTCCCCAATATCCAGTATGCACATCCTTCTGAGCTGCTCCAGCCTTGGAAGGCAGTGAATGCTAGATCTGTGACTGGTCAGCTTATCCAGAAGAAAGTCTGCCCTGCTGTGAAAGCCATTCCCTCCACTCCAGGTCCATGGTGAAGAACTGCAGACCTGTCTGGGGCCAGGGACAAATTAATGTCTATATACGTCCTGATTGGTAACACAATTATCTTTCTACCTGCAATAGTGTGGCCCTAAAGAGATACTATAGCCCTGAAATGCTTAAGGAATTGAGTGATGATCCTTAGTATGAAAAAGGACCATCTTGGGGATTGGCCTCCAATCAGTGAAGCGAACAATGAAAACCAAAAGTTATCTGCTTGGGTCTGGGGAACTTTCTGCATCATTCCTCACAAATCAGTGGTCAGCTGAAAGATGCTGAGTTGGTTCCTTGATCATTGTTCAGGACAGAAAAGGATTGTATCTTTGAGTCCTATGGCCCCATTCTTTTATCTTACAGCTAGAGAGAGACTCATCACAACTGATTCTGCTCTAACACCAACTTTCACACTGGTGTAAAACTCCTGACTTCCAATAAGTTACTCTGAATTAATACTGGTAGAAGTGAGACCAGAATCCATCATAGAAAATGTAAGGCTGTTGGCACCTTAAGATTCTTTCCTTGCTCAGTGATGTATAGGATAGGAAGGAGGCTTTGTATCTGTACCAGCTAAGGTGCTCAAGGAACCTCCATGGCTCATTTTGGCTTCTTCAGGACCCTAGAAAAGTAATAGTTTACAGTGTAATAAAGAATCATCCCTAGTAAATTTCAAGAGTACTGTAGAGTCATCTATTCCTAGAGAACAGTAATAGGTACATGTTGTATGATCTGCTTAGCCTGATTATTAGTTAGTTTTCTTTGCATACCTATTAATTTCACATTTCTAATCCATAGACTCCCACCCTGCATTAAGACATAGCAGGATTTCATTTGCATCATGTGTTGTACAACTCTTACTTTACCTCCACAAGGTGAAGATTGAATACAAATGACTGTTTTCTCCACTCTTTCCTTTTTGAAAGCAGATTCCTAGAACATGGACTTTTAAATTGCTGAGTAATGTTACCTCAACACAATTGCTGAAAAATACTATTGTAATAATTTTAACCCTCGTAGAATCAATAGAGGTCTTCTGTTTCCTATCACAAAACATGGCTTTGGCAAGAAGAATGATCACATGGCTTAATATGTCAGGATTAAAAAGTAATTATACAACAAACATAAAAATATCATTAGTAGAACTGTATCATAATACCCAGAACATGTTAATAAACCATAGCACTTAAATGTTAAGTTCATCATTCCTTTAAATTACATTTCATATTTTATCACACACACAAAAACCCACCTAGTTTTGATGTTGGCATTTGCCCAATATATATTTCTAAGTGTATGTACAATAAAAGAGAGTATTTGATAATGGAAAAATGAAAGCTTTCTAAATCACTCTCAGACAGTGAACAGTACCTGCAAATAAGTGTCTGAAAATCATATTATTCACTATATATCATTTTGAAGACACACCTCAAATTCAGAAAGCTTAACGTACAAGATAAAAAGCTTATTCTTTGAGTTCACACTAAAGTGAGGGATCTGTACGCTTCTTGGTTCAGAATTTAGTAAAGTTCTAATGCTGGACTGGAAAAAAATGCCGTTTTTCAAAACACAATTGTGGTTTACCTTTTAAAATAGCAGTGTCACTCCTGTACTGTGTGTATATGTGTGTGTGTGTGTGTGTATTCACTATATTGCATTAAACTCTACATGCATATTTATGTATCTACTATACGTACTGTTTGTCTAACTTCAGATTTTGATCATTCCTGAAAAAGGCATCACAATTTAATTGTCATATTTTCTCCCTGTTTTCAGCATAAATTTCAGCTAATCTTTTCCTCCCAACATGGGCCCTGATACCACAGTGAGGTCCATGGGGCTGGAATCCTGCGCCCACATTAAGCCTCACTAAAGCTAACAAGGTTGCATTCAAAGGCAGAGCTCATTGCAGGATCAGGGACAAAGCGAATCCAATTCTGCAGACACTCCATATGCAGAACTTCCACTAGCTTCATTGGAAATTCTGTGCGCGGAGCACCTGAAAGCCTCAGCCCCGCATTCATCTTTTCAGTACCCAGATGTTGTTGGTATCTCTCCCTAGATAGACAATCTAATGTTCATGTAACTTGAAAAAAAATCATATATATATATAGACAGAAAAGTTGTGCAACTTTTCTGTACACCTAATCTCTGGATGCGACAAGGAACTCTATGCACTTCCACACATCACTAGTTGTATTCTAGCCAGAAACACTACCAAAAGAAAACGCTTCATTCAGTAAAGGCTATTGACCATAAAAATCATTTGAATAAATAGATTTAAATATGGTATAAACTAGAGATTGGTTCAAGCTACAACATTAAGGTCCCATCCAGACCTTTTCAACACCACATATCCAGCGAACATTCGTTATAAATATTGGGGCCATTTGCAGGTTGCTGAGCTGGCTCCAGGTTTGGATTTGGAACACCTCTATTGGTCAGGGCTGTTTTTGGGTCCATGATAATTTGAGGACACTGGACCAAACAACTTGTTCTCACTGTTAGGGATGATGGTTCCTTTTCACTCTGTCACTTGTGTGTTATTCAGTCATCTCAAACTTAAGCAAATAAATTGTTCTAACTTCTCATACCATATACTTTCTTCCCCTCAAACAGCAAACTATAAATAATACACAGGAAAACAACCTGTTATAGGTTATATATAAACTCTATACATGCTTTGAGTATTGGTGAAAAATCCAGGATAAGTGCAGGTAACATTCAACTGTTTCTGCAATATGGTTTTTCATCTAATGAGTTATGATCTATGCAGATAAAGCCAATTCCATAATTCAGAATCACCATCAACCAGTCCATTACCCACTCAATCCAAGTCATATTTACAACACGCACGGTGGCACACGTGCATGTCAAAATCAATATTTGAGAAGAAAAGTAATGATTAATAACCACTACCACAAGTGTGGCCAGTTCAAATCTAACTGGGCAAAATCGAGGTATTTGGACTCAAATGTTCAAACTTGAGTTTTTAAACTTAGGCAACAGTAATCCTCTTTTCGTCACCTAAATGAACGTGGGTGGATCTTTAGAGGTGCCGAGCCCACACTGAAGATAATGGGAACTGTGAGTGCTCAGCATCTTTGAAAGTCAGCCCACTTTTATTCAGGTGTCTAACGTTACGAACCCAAGTCTGAAAGTTCAGACTGCAATTTTTACACTCTAGTCTTAATTATACCCATAAGTGATACCCAAACTGCTACCATCCTTCCAGTCCTCTGCAGATAGTCATCCAACATTTGCAACAGATTTTCTTTCCCTAAACGAAGGTCTGCACACAGACTTCTAATGCATTAATATGGTGCGATGTTCAGATTTAATGAGATGTCACTGAGAGCTGATTTAACAGAGTTGTGTGTTCAGTTCATAGTTTTCTAGATGATTCTGAGCTTCATGAGAAAATGTTTGTGGTTTAGATTTACAAAGCTGTGCAAAATTATACTTCTTTTTGTCATGCTTTTTTAGCAAAACTGCACTTAGAAGAATAAAGTGAGATTGTTCCAGACATTCTCCTTTTATAACAAATACAGACTGGACCCCAAGTCAGTGTGTTGAAGTCAAGTTATAGCTAAGTGATACAGTATACAGTCAAAAAAACCCATCCTCGTGAACAGGATAGCAACAAATGAGTTATGCTCCCAATTTCCAAACACTAAAAATATTGGGAACAGGCAAAACATTTCAAACAGAATCTGCTAAAGGGTTTTGAAGTTCCATTAAAATACCACCTGACACAAAAGTCCTCTTACTGTTTGGCTTCTTACATCCTGGGAAAGTAAAGTTTATAAACACACTGCATGAAACCGACATGTTCCTTGTTTGCATATCACAGTGCTCTTCTGATGCTTTTAGCATGCCGCTACAGAGCATTAAGTCACTTCTACACAGCTTCAAAAATGTAAGGACAGCTTGTAGTCTGTTTTGAAAGGACTATTTCTAATGAACACGTTGCTTTAAACAAGTGTAGCTACAAACAGTGCTTCTGTCATACTGAAGTTCTGTGCTTTCTGATCAGCAACTGAACTGGTCCCTCTGGGACAGATTTAATGATGTTCCAGGCATCATAGTGCATGAGACCAAGTAATGATTTTCCACTAATGGCAACAATTTCATCTCCAGCTTCTATTTTTCCAGCTTGTTCTGCAGCGCCACCTATAAGCAAATAAGTTACAGTCAATATAAAAACAAAGGGATTGCTTTCCACTGTGGCAAATGGGAAATAAATGATTCTTCTAACAATGCCAATTGTATTATTAATCCCTGAGACTCAGCACTAACAATTTATTCCAACATAGTGCACACAGTAACAGTAAAGTGTTAACGTAGCTGAGATAATGTTAAATTCCGGTTGTTTGAGATGTTGTGTCAAACAAAGCTTCTGCTAAGATTAACTAAGCAATATGGGGGCATCAAAACTGCTGTATATTGGTCTAATATTTTGTAAGAAAACCTGTTGAATTAAATAAATGTGCATGTTCACATAGACAAAAATAGTTATTTCCACAGAAAATGTAACAGGCCATTTTTCGCCCAGGTATGAACCTCAAATGGAGTTTTATTCTCCAGAGGATAAAACAATGGACTGTGAAATCGTTAGTAACAGTGAGAGGGCAAACAAGGTTTAGGATATAGACAGAGGTAAACTTCCTGCCCAGTTAGAAACCATATGTTAGTGATGAAAGTATATTTTCTCTATGATAACGTAGCTGTATCATCATGTATCAAGAAACACCAGTAGGAGTTGTAATTAATGACATAAATGGGAGTGTTCCAAATAATCACACAATGATTATTATACAAAATTAAAAGTGACCCTCCTCCACAAAATAAATGTTTAAATATTAAATGTTAAAAAGTGAAACTGATTTGTTGCTAGGCCATATAGATTTCATTTTGACTCTTTTCCTTTATAAGAGAATAGGAACATGGGGCCTGATCCTGCAAGATGCTGAGCACCCTTGGATCCCACCGAAGTCAATGGGAGCTAAAGAGGCTCAGTTCTTTGTAGAAGGCACTCGGCTTTTCACATGATTGTATCCATAAGAGCCAGGACTAAACCATGTGAAAAGTACTGGGCATTGGTTTCCACTCTGCATGCAACACATTTAAGTTTAACCATCTGGCTGACAGACAGAGCATCCAAGAATGGCAGCTTTCCAATGCACATGCACAGTGTATTGTACTCTTGGGAGAAGGCTGATCACTGTGCTAAGAGCACCTGAAGCAGAAAATTAACACCATATTGTAGATAAAGAACTTCAGAGGAAAGCTCAACAAAAACGAAAAAAGAGAAAGAAGTAAAAGGTCAGAGCAGGAGTAGTAGTATTTGGGAAGAACACAGAACCACGGTTTCACTGTGCTCTCCTTCACCGTAAGTATCAGCTTTGCTTTTCACAGGAATGGGAGACAAGAGGTGAAATGCTAGCTTGTTATAGAATACTGTTGTAATGCTAGATGAAATGATATTGCTGGCTGCAGTTCAATATTTATGGTAATGGGTAAGCCCAGCACATAATCACAGCACACTTATTCAATCTGTCCACATTAATCCTACAAACACTTGTCAGCAGGTGTGGCACTTACTACCACGATCAGTGTTTTTAAGAATAGGCCTTTAGTTATTAAGAGGTATAGAATGCATTAGAAAATAACTTAGGTCCATCATTATCCAATTCAACAAAGTCTGAACAGTGTGTAATAGAAGAAAATGGGATTATAGCCATGCAAATATATTTTCCAGATACCTTTAAATATTCTTTTTACAAGCAAAGGTCTGTCTCCAGAAATTGAAGCTTTTCCGCCATCAAGGCTGAACCCTAAGCCAGCAGAGGTTTTCCACAGTTCAACAGAAACGACACCACTCATATCCACAATTGGACCTGCAACAGAATACGTGCAATATTTTGTTATGGATCTACAATTCTTTGCTGTGGTGAGAAAATGATCCACCATTTAATTTCTACTAAAACTGCAACATGTTTTCAATCAAATTTTTTTAAGGGCACATGCATATTATGCAGTTGCACAACCCAGAGTGGCATGTGCAAGTCAGTTTTTGCAATGTGGAATTACCTATTAGGTGTGGAGTAATTCAGATTTCTCATGTTCAACAAGGATATGCCTAGACATTTTTGTGGGTAACATTAAGGAGGCCTGCTGAACATTTGCCCAACGGGATTTAGTAAAAATTAATTTTAAAAAATTGAAGTGTTTAAAAAAATCACAAGAACAATGAGCTGCAAAACTTTATAGTCTTCAATTTGATACCACTTATTTAGGTCTTGGATGATGGGTTTCTAAAGAGCAAGGCTGTCCAAACATTAATTTGAGCAAAACCCATTCACTTTTTTTTTTTTTTAAAGGGAGGGTTTTGTAATATACTGACTTGTGTGAATTTATGCTCCTGCTCGCTAATCAATCGATATGTCAGATCTCTACCAGTGTGTGTATGCTGTCCTCTAGCAGCTGGACCACAGAAGTTATAAACCATAATACTGCTACACCTAATAGAAATTATGCAGAAATCATGTAGAAATGGCCCCAGGAATTTGGAACAAAGGAATAGATGTGATATATCTTGATTTTAGTAAGGCTTCTGTCACAGTCACACATGACATTCTCAAAAGCAAACAAGGGAAATATGATTGAGATGAAGTTACTATAAGATGGGTGCGTAACTGGTCAAAAAGCCGTACTCGAATGGTAGTTGTCAGTGGTCCACTGTCAAACTGGTAGGATGTATCCAGTGGGGACCCACAAAATTTTCATTAATAACTTAGATAACAGAATGAAGAGTGTGCTTTTAAGATTTGCAGATGCCAGCAAACTGGGAGGGGTTGTTAGCACTTTAGAGGACAGGATTAGAACTCAAAATGACCTTGACAAATTGGAGAATTGGTCTGATTTCAACAAGATGAAATTCAATAAAGACAAATGCAAAGTACTATACTTAGAAAGATCAAAATCAATGTACAACTACAAAATGGGGGAACAACAGGCGAGGCAGTGGTACTGCTGAAAAGGATCAGAGGGGTTTATAGCAGAACACAAACTGAATACAGGTAAAAATTGTGATGCAGTTATGAAAAAGGCTAATATTGTACTGTAGGGTGACCAGATAGCAACTGTGAAAAAATGGGACAGCGGGTGTGGGGTAATAGGTACCTATATAAGAAAAAGTCCCCCAAAACGGGACTGTCCCTATAAAAACGGGACATCTGGTCACTCTATTGTTCTGGGGAATATTAACACAGGAGTCTCATATGTGATACGCTGGAGGTAATTGTCCCGCTCTGCGTGGCACTGGGAGGCCTCAGCTGGAGTATTCTGTCCAATTCTGGGTACCACACTTTAAGTAAGATGTGATTACACTGGCGAGAGTCCAGAGAAGAGCAATAAAAATGATAAAAGGTTTAGAAAATCTGACCTGTGAGGAAATGTTAAAAAAACGGGCATGTTTAGTCTTGAGAAAAGAGTAATGAGCTTAATCTGCAGCAATGGAGATTTAGGTCAGATATTGGGAAAAGCCTTTTAACTATAAGGTTAGTTCGTCTCTGGAATATGCTTCCAAGGATGGTTGTGGAATCGCCATCACTGGAGGTTTTTAAGACAGGTTGCACAAACACCTTTTGGGGTGGTCTGGGTTTACTTGGTCTTGTCTCAGTTCAGGGGGCTGGACTTGATAATTTCTCAAGCACACCTTCCAGCCCCACATTTCTATGATTTATGTTCTATTCCCTGCCCACTTCCTGCCCCAGTGACTGTCAAATTTATACAGCCATAAATTTAGTGCCAATTGTTGAATTTAAAAACTGTACCTTAGGCATCTGAGAATGAGCTTTGCCTAATGGGAAGGGGCTTATGTAAATGTATGGGCTAGTGTGCGTTTGTCCTGGGGGAATTCTGCACCCCTGTGCCATGCAGAATTTGTGCAGAATTCTGGGTTTTCCCCACAGAATTGGGGCTGCAGAGTTGCTGGCTGCCAGTAGGGGCCACTGGATTCTAGAGAGCCCAGCTTGCAGTGAGTGGAGGGCCCAGCCAAGGCTGTACAGTTTGGCTGCAGGCTTGATCCTCATCCTCCCAGGGACAGAAGAGGGCCTGGAAGAATTTTTATTGTGCGCAGAATTTTTTGGCACAGAATTCTCCCAGGAGTAACAGCTGCACTCTACAGGATGGACTCTAAGTGAGATCGTGTTGCTCTCTAGTAGCTGCAGCCCACAGAGGCTATGCACTCTTCAGCTCAAGTGGCAGGAGGACTTTTGGAGCAGAAAGTCAGGGGGTCCACCTACAGTGATGTCCATTAAATCTATGTGGCCATAAAACTGTTACAGAAAGGCCATTCTAATCAAGATGGCATACTGCATCCTGACATATGTTGTTTCCAGAGACCACACCTCTACATCAAAATGAAGATACCAATAGGCTGCATATTAAAATTTCATGGACTACATTTAATCTGCAGCATACACTTTGACCACCCCAATTTGGTAATAAATATTTTGGGCCAGATCCTCATCTGGTGTAAATCTGCATGGTTCCATTGAAAACAATGGAGTTACACCAGTTTACAGAGCTGAAGATCACATCCATTTATTTATAAAGTGATTCCTCTCTCTCTGACGGGTATTTGGATGCTCTACTATGATTCAGGATAAAAACACGAGAAAGGCAAGAAAAATACCAGTATAGACGAAAACAGCCTCAGCTAAAGCCTAGAGCTGACAATTTCAAAAGTGGGTCACTGACTTTTCTGTGCCTCCATTTCTTGGTGCCGAGCTTGAACTGAGCACCTGGACTGCTAGTGGCAGATTACCCTGGAGCAGGGGTAGCAACCTACAGCATGCGTGCCAAAGGCAGCACGCGAGCTGATTTTCAGTGGCACTCACACTGCCCGGGTCCTGGCCATTGGTCCCGGGGGCTCCGCTACCAGCCTGGGGTACGTCTGCCGGCCCCCTGCCAGCCGGGGTTCCGTCCGCCGGCCCCGCTCAGCCCGCTACTGGCCCCGGGTCCCGGCCACCGGTCCCAGAGGCTCCACTGATGGCCTGGGGTTCTGTTTGCCAGCCCCCTCAGCACGCTACCAGCCCCGGGTCCCGGCCACCGGTCCAGGTGGCTCTGCTGCTGGCCTGGGGTACCGGCCACTGTGCCCCTGCCAGCCCAGGTTCCGGCCGCTGGTCCCGGCCACCGGTCCAGGGGACTCTGCTGCTGGTCTGGGGTCCCGGCCACTGGCCGGGGCTCTGCAGCCACTCCCAGCTGTGGTGCTCTGGCCCCAGCCTGGGGCAGTGAGGAGTGCAGACAGGGCCAAGAGGGGGCACAGCTCAGTGTGGATCGCATGGATTATTATTACTGGCACGCGAAACCTTAAATTAGAGTGAATAAATTAAGACTTGGCACACCACTTCCAAAAGGTTGCCGATCCCTGCCCTGGAGGGATGCTGCATTATCAGAGCTCTTGGCAATGACAGTTATTCATCATCACTGATTGATTCCTCTTCTCCAGGCTGGATATCAATGGAACCACTGAAGTGCAGCCCCAGAAACATCAGCAATATTCCTCAAGCAACACAACATGGTCAGAAAATATCAGCTGACCAGAATGGTAAAGTGTCCTAGTTCTAAAACCAGGAGACCCATTCAGAACATCTCAAGTATAATCTCGGCTCCAAAGCAAGGCCATGTGCCCATCCGGAACCTATTCATGAGGCCACTGAGAGCCACTGGGACCATGAGCTGCTAAATTGTAACTTTTCTCCAGTCTCATCTTTGGAATGGATTGGGATTTGGCTAGATCGCTCTGTTTTCTGTAATATCAAAATACCTTTCTTGTATATTTTAATAAAAACGTAATAAAAATTAAATTCTGCCATTTCATAGATCAGTTCCACTCCCTGTGAATAATAAACTGTACTTCTAGATTTGGTTTCTTTGTTTTTGCACTCACTATTGTTATTTTAAACGCCTTCAAACACATAATCCCCAATTTCATCCTGGATTGGACGAGCATGTGTAAATCAAAAATAGTTTGTCTTTTGCCATAAGGTTATGAAATAATCATTTTAACTATTAACAGGAGTCCTGTTAGACCTGATGCATGCCGTACTGAAGTCAATGGAAAAACGGCCATAAACATGAACAGGAGTTGATGCGGGCCCTAAATATTCATCTAAGTGTCTACCTTTTTATGACGGCTTCTAAAAATTGCATTTGGCTTCCAAAGAGTACAAATAAAAGTTAAAATGAATTTCATTTGCTTTCTCTGATCACCTAAGAAACAGACACTTATAATCTGAAGCATATGGACATTTTCCCTTGGTCTGCTCTGCAGTGACTCCCTTCCAACTATTCTTGGACTAAGATCATACCTGTTCCTATTTCCATGGTAACATCCTTTCCAGGCACAAAGTGTTTTCTGCCGGTAGCTGATATTTCAAGTCTGGATGAAATCTTTTCTCGGTCTTTCTTTTTCTCGATGACAATGACTGCATATTTGTGCAGTCTTGCCTGATGCACAGCATTCAGAACATCTCCATGGACTGAACCCGCCAGAGACATGCCATTAATTGACAGAATGAGATCTCCACAATGGATAGTTCCTTCTTGAGACGCCACACCCTTTGAAAACACCCTGTGGACCTAAAAGAAAGATTATTACTTAATACTCTGATAGTATCAGGAACACGCATAGTGCTGTACAAATCAGATAAAGGTGAAGGCTCTGCCCCAAAAAGCTTACAATCTAAGAGTCTGATATTCTAAACACCATCAGGTATAACGTTTACCCTCAGGTCTTGTCTTCACTGTGGGCTAAATTGGTGCTGCTGCAATCAATGCAGCGGCGTCAATTTAGTGGGTCTGGTGAAGACATGATAAGTTGATGGGAGAATGTTCTCCCATCAACTTCAGTATTCCACCACCTCAATGAGAGGCTGAAGCTATGTCGACAGGAAAACGTCTCCCGCCAACATAGCACGGGGTAGGCACTGCGGTAAGTTGCTGTAGACTACGTCAACGTAAGTTACGTTACTTGAGTTGTGTAACTTACATCTACTTACCCTGCAGAGTAGACAAGGCCTCGGTGAGGGTATATCAGTAAAGATAGGGAAATATTAATGACATTGTTAAAGGGACTGGTGAGACCTCATCTGGAATACTGCGCACAATTCTGGTCACCCATGTTTAGGGCCCTACCAAATTCACCGTCCATTTTGGTCAGTTTCACAGTAATAGGATTTTTAAAATAGTAAATTTCAGTTATGGGGTGGTCGCAAAATTATTGTAGGGGGGGTTGGGGTACTGTAACCCTTACTTCTGCGCTGCTGCTGGCAGCGGCGCACTTCAGAGCTGGGCCGCTGGAGAGCGGCGGCTGCTGGCCGGGAGCCCAGCTCGGAAGGCAGCACTGTCTCCAGCAGCGCAGAAGTAAGACTGGCATGGTATGGTATATTGCCACCCTTCCTTCTGCGCTGCTGCGTGCAAAGCCGGGCCCTCAGTCAGCAGCGGCCACTCTCTGGCCACCCAGCTCTGAAGGCAGCAGCACAGAAGAAAGGCTGCCATGGTATGGTATTGCCACCCTTACTTGTGCTGGCGGGGTGCTGCCTTCAGAGCGGGGAGCCCGGCCAACAGCCGCAGATCTCCGGCCGCCCAGCACTTAAGGCAGTGCAGAAGTAAGGGTGGCAATACTGTGACCTTCCCCCCCCCTAAAATAACCTTGTGAGCCCCCTGCAACTCCCTTTTGGGTCAGGACCCCCAATTTGAGAAATGCTGGTCTCCCCTGTGAAATCTGTATGGGATAGGGTAAAAGCATGTAAAAGACCTGATTTCACAGGAGGAGACCAGATTTCACGGTCTGTGACGCGTTTTTCATGGCCGTGAATTTGGTAGATCTGAAAAATGGAATTCAAACTGGAATAGGTTCAGAGCAGAGCTACTAGGATGATCTGGGGAACAGTAGGCCTATTTTATAAGAGGATACTAGCAAAACGAAGGCTGACAGAGGATCTGACTACTCTCTGTAAGTACATCAGGGGATAAATATTGGGGCGAGAAGAGCTATTAAAGCTGAAGGACAATGATGACACAAGAATAAATGGATATAAACTGGCCAGGAATAAATTTAGGCTGGAAACTAGAAGAAGGTTTCTAACCATCAAAGGAGCCTGCCAATTGGAGTAGTGGGGCCAAGTAAGCCAACTAATTTTAAGATAGAGCTTAATAAATTTATGAATGGGGTTATATGACAGGGCTCCTTGCTATAGGAGAGGACAGGACTCGATGACCCAGGAAGTCTCTTTCTGTCCTATGTTCCTATGAGGTGCCCCAAGCACGATGCCAGGTTAAAGTGTCTGCAAGATTGGGCACAAAGAAGTAGCTGCAGAGATAACTGTGTATTTTACATTGGCTGTTACATGGTCAACTGTGCAGCTTCGAGTGCCTTTTTGTGATGATTTGGCTGTTCCAATACTCTCTTCACCATCACAGATTTAACAGTCTTTTTGGTTATGTAAACTATTTTTTCCTTGCAAATATGGAAAATTCTAGAGGGCAATTAGAGTGGAGAAAATCTGGAGTAACCCCTTGGGCTCCAGTAGACTGGCTCAAGATTTGTGCTGGTGTAACTGATAGAAGAAAATGACCCGAAAGCAGCAACTTTGGATTTTTAAAGACTCATTTACAAGATGCTGAGCAGCTGTTGGAGCACTGTTATATGCTTCCTTTCAAAAAGGCTCATGCTGTGAATTTGTGAGGACAATTCTATATGCTTATCTCAAGGTATTTCATAGACTGTCTGGCACTTACGAGGGGGAGTGCAAGTCTTTTGGGCATCCCCTAGAAAGGACCCAATGCCCTGCTGTACCTCACCCCAACACAGTCCCCAGGAGGAGGCCCTGCTAAAGAACCCTAGTTTCAGAGGCTAACGTTTCCAGGCAGGTTTCAGAGGCAGTGTAAGGAGGCACTCTCAGTGAGGCGCTAACTAACTGTAGCTGTGTTTAGGCTCAATATCTTGAAAGAAGGGTGTAACTCAGAGGGGAGACATATAAGGAGGCACTTCTGACCAGAAGCCAAGGCAGGAAGCTCTGGGAAAATGCAGGAGCTACCATGCATATATGTAAGGCAGGGGTGCGGCTTGAAACATTGCTATATTAGTGTCAGTTTGGATTAAAAATGAACCCCCTTAATAATACCCTACCTGGCAGGGGAGTTTTTGTGCTTAAAAGTGGATTCGTGGGTGAAATTTTCTCTTGTTATTTTCCCCCTGATCCCAATATGTGCTCCACAAACAGCCTCATCACCCTGGCAGAGCCTACCCCTGCTCCCACTCAAATCAATGGGAGTTTGACTACTGACTTCAATAAGAATGGAGCCAGGTCTCAAATGAGTTACCATTCCTATAGGTGTCACTGTGGTCCTGTCGCAGGGCAGAGGTATAAAACCTTTGGATGCCCTGCTAAAGACCTTGCTTCCCTTTAGGGTGGCGGGTGTATGAGCCAAGACCCTTAGCAGGGAGCCCAGCTGCAGGCCCTAATGAGGGCAGGCTCAGTGTGGTCTGCTGAGCCTAGTGGAACCAGCTGGGTTGATGACTGGGAAGGCATATAAACCCAGGGAAGAGCTCAGGATGGGGGTAGCCAGGCAGAAAGATAGGAGGGTTGAGGCTCTGTCTCTGCTGGCTGACACAAGCCTCAAAGGCCAGAGGACCCAGTGCGGGGTCGGAGCAGGGACAGGTGTTGGGGGAATCGGGACTGTACAGCCACTGTAAATAAAAGAACACGGGTGAAGCACCTGCAAGAGGCATCTGAGACCCTTTCTTTGGCCAGCCCAAGCATAGGGACAAGGGGAAGGAAATTTGTGCCGCCCTGTAACAGGTCCAAAGACTGAGGCATGCCCTCCTCCTACTCTCAGCATCTAATGGGTTCATCTTCATAAGTGTGGAATCTAAAAGCTTTCCCACTTCAGAGGGCTTGCTGCATGGCACACTGGTTCTCTTGTTTTTCTCTCTCTCACTGGTTCTACTTTTTGATAGTGTTTCAGTTGTTTGGTATCACTTTTTTATTCCTTGGGATCACTTACTGGCACTTACAATGTCCTGGGTTTAAAAGTACCTTATAAATGGTAATTATAATTAGTTTTCACTTGTCACCAAAAGTACATTGTGAAGCAAAATCCAGAATGTTTGCCTCAGTCTGAAACAGCTGTCCTTAGGTTTATAAAAACATTCCATACCTGGACACTTTATGACAAAAGTTCAAAAGCTGGAAACTGAAATCTACTTACATTTCAGGTTACATTAAAGGTTACATTTACCTTGAGTATGTGGGATTTTATTTATATCCCTTGGGATTTTGATGCAGTTGATCCCATAGATTAATAATCCAGTTACATATTAATCTAAGAAGCACTTTTAAATCTAGTTTGAAAATGTAATTGACATCCATTTTCAGTAATAAAAATATTGCATCAACTTATTTTTCACCCAGGCACTTCCCTCTCTGATTTCATGATAGCATGCAGCAGCCTCTCAAAGTCCCTGGTTTATGACTTTGCAGTGACACTTGCTAGATGAACACTTGATCTAATTACCAGCTTGCCTTGCAGTCAATTTTGCTGAAAAAGACTTGCGGTCATCACTTACTATGATAGATTTCTGCTCCAGATCTATCCCTCCAGCGACACTAAATCCCAGGCCAGCACCTTCTTCTTTATTCAAGACCACAAAGTAAGCTTCTTCTTTGCTCTAACAATAGAACAGAAGATGGTGAGGGAAGCCACAGATCAAGACAAAACACCCACGCAAGCTAAAGAGTCCCACTCTCACACTACTGCAACTTGAGTTTACAGTTTTAAAAAGCTAATGTCGTTCTTGTGAAAGGAGTCAGATTGAAGTCGTGTGTTTATTCACACAGTGGGTACAGCATGAGCAGCAGTGCAGGCTCTCTCAGAAGACAGTAACGGGGGCTCTTCCATCAAGCCGACAAAGAGCTGATCGCTGGAAGCTGAAGCCAGACAAATTCAGACTAGAAATAAGGCACACATCTTTAACAGGCAGGGTAATTAACTAACGAAACAACTTAAGCAGGGATGTGCTGGGTTGATCATCACTGGCAATGTTTAAATCAAGATTGGATTTTTTCTAAAAGACATGCTCTAGTTCAAACAGGAATTAATTCAGGGGTGGCCTGTGTTATATGGGGAGTCATAGAGTTTAAGGCCACCAGATCATTCAGTCTGACCCCTTGTATAGCACAGGCCACCAACACCACCCCACACCCACACACTAAACCCAACAACCAAAATTAGACCAGAGTTTTACAGCCCGTGGGAGACTAGAGTGTTTTATACCACAGGCAACGAATAGGAGGGCCCAAAGTATGCCAGTGCCCAAGGCCCCCCGCAATGGCACGGAAATGATTAAGCAGCCTTGTTGACACCTCAGAGCCCTGGCCCACCCCTTCCAATGTCCCTTTCTCCAGCTGTGGCCATCCCTGATGCTTCAGAGGAAGCAGACTAAAAAAACCCCAGAAAACATGGGGCGAGGGAGCCCTTCCTGACCCCTGCAGCTGGCTGATTGAAGGTCAGACTAGATGATCACAGAGGACCCTTTCTGGCCTTATAATCTATTAATCTAAGACAACACCATGGCACCCTAGTTCTACCCTGAATGGATCCTGAATAGTTCGGTTTCTGCACCTGTTCAGCTCTTGGACTTCTACCGAAGGGGATGTCTACACTGTAACGGCTGGGTGTGATTGCAGCTCGAGCTGACATACCTGAGCTAGCTTTAATCTCGCTAGCTCAGGTCCCAGAATAGCGAAGCCACGGCAGCATGAGCTTCAGCCTGGCTTATCCCCATGAGTAATTACCCAGGGTGCTAAGCGGGTTTGTCCAGCCCACGCTGACATTCACACTCTTGTGTCTTTACTGCTCCAGGATCCAAATGAGCTAGATGAAATCTAACTCACGTATGTTGCCCTGAGATGCAATCATATCCCGTGATTAAAGTCGAGGCATACCCTAGGACTGCCAACAAGAATTGTGCATGAGACTAACTGGTTTCACATAAATCCAGTCACCAGTCATCAGCTGGTGACAACTATCAGCCATTCCTGACCTGGACTGAATTCAAGCCAACGACCAATAAATAAAAGGTATCCTATTGCCAAACCCATGGGCTGTCCAGTCTATCACAGTTTCATGCAACATACTAAGGAGGACTACGATGTACTGTATTTACCTTTCAGTACCAACCACTAAGGGAGCTAGTGAACAGACGAGTTTGAGAGGGAGATCTCCCTGCTGAACAAGGTGTGAATGAGCTTGTTTGGCTTTTTGGCTGTTAGTTTTTCTCTTTCAGGATACTCAAAGGTGTCAGTTGGGATTGTGTGTTTGGGGACTGTTTGAGTCTTTGTTCCCTTGATCATCTTTGATCAGATTCAATCAGCCCTTGATCATCCTTAATCATCTTTGATCACACTTGCAAGTGAAAAATTCTATTTTCTACAGTATGACATGGGATGTGCAAAAGCAAGGCTTGACAGCACTGGAATTCCAGGTACCACAAGGACCATTCCACTTCACATCCCAGCAAAGGGCGGAGAGAACTCTTCAGTGATCTGAACACTTTGGGCTAAATTCAGCCTCAGTATAAACAAGTGGCACTCCAGTGAAGACCATGGAATGGCACCTGCTTTCACCAGGGCTCAACGTGGCTTATAAAACTGATTTATATGAAATGGTGGGCTACTGCCAGAGCACAGAGTTTGCTACGCTGGATGAGACTATCAAGTTGGGTGTCTTGCATTCATCAGTTATTAGGGTGAAAGGAATACTGTTATGAACAGCCTGTATAGACATTTTCCAGTATAAATAAGACAATAAACAATAGTCTGGTGGCAGTAACAAGATATTAACTGGACCTGCTGCAAATCATCAGGCGCTGACACTGTAAAGCAGCATCTGGCCTTGGATCGTGTCCAGCTCTTAGCATTTCCAGGAACTGCCAATGCTTAAATTAATGGCATCTCATTAGAATCGAGGCCCTGACACAGTTTAATCTATTTACCATTAAATGACATATTTAGTTCACTGGACTGAAAATGTGTTTAACTCAGAGGGTTGTCTTTTAAATTAAAGCCCCAGTCTAAAAGGCATGGGGGAAGCGAACACTATTAAGGGTTGTACTGTAAATATAATGGGCCTGATTCTTGGCCACACTATGGGTGTTCTGTGGCAATTCAGTGGCCTTTGGAGGATTCCCTTGTGTGAAGGGCAGCTCTGGGGAGCGCTGGGCCAGTCTAAGAGCTGGCCAAGGTGGATTGGGAGCGACCCGAGGTAGACTGCTAAGGTGTTGCAGGGTGGGGAAAGGGAAACGGCGAATTCCTGGGGGGTCGCAGCAAACTAGAGACTGCATCTGCAGTGATGCATCAGGTTATTGAGGGAGGAATTCGCTGGGGGTGAGAGAGGAAAGAAAACATCTCCTGTGATGGTCTAAATAATACTTAGTCCTGCCTTGAGTGCAGGGGACTGAACTAGATGACTTCTCCAAGTCCCTTCCAGTTCTATGATTCTGTGATGCATTGGAGCTGGAAAGACCCGTGCACAAAGCTGTTGTCCCCACCCCTCACTGAGCACCCCGTGTAGAGGTGTTCCCCAGAAGAAAGCGGATGTGACCAAACATCCCACGGCCCGGTAACCCCTGGCTGCCAGAAAAGCCCTATGGGGCTGTAACCAGCTGGTTTAAGTCAGAGCAGCCTTCTGTCACTGGATGAGAAAACGAAAGAATACAATAATTATAAATGAGTTCAACACTAAAATCCAGGAGGGTCCTTAGCACAGTGTGCTAAATGCAGCAGATTGCATGGTAACGGTATCCAGCTATCCTGTGTACATAGTAAGTATGTGGCTGCACATTAACACCCTACTTCTACTTCATATTCTGTCATGCAGCTCTGCCTGGAATGCACCTACTGTTTCCCCCACCTGCTATTCTGATATCACCTCAGCTTTTCCTGGTTTCCTAGGACTAAACATCCCAGTCCAGGCACATACACAATCTGAACATTATCTCATTCTTGCTTTTCACAGCTATGCCCCATAAGGACATGGCATACTGTAATACCTTCCATCTGATAATCCAGTTGTGCTTCACAGGAATCCATTAATCTAAGCGCACAACCACCCAGTGGGGCCAGTAATTATTACTAGCCCTATATTACAGATGAAGAAACTGAGGCATGAAGTGCTCAGGTTCCTGATCCTGTGAGCTGCTGTGCATACTCATCTTCCCAAAGTCTTCATCTCAACAGACTGGGCACTAAGTGACTTGCCCAACGTCACAGAGGAAATCAGTGGCACGGCGGGAAGGAGCTCTGATCTCAGTTCTGTCCCTTAACCACAAGGCGAGCCCTTTAAAACCTAGCACTAGTTTAACAATAATAAACAAAAACAAAAAAAACCCGATCTGCACAACAATTATCTTTCAATGTTCTCTTTTTTCTTTATTTTCCTAATATTTATTCAGAGATTCAAAGCCCCAAAGGGAGCCCTATGATCATCCAAGTCTGACCTCCTGCATACCACTGGCAAGAGAACTTCCCTCTAATAATTCCCTTTGAACTACAGTATTTTTCTTAAAAAAAAATCCAAACTTAATTTCAAAATTGCCAGTGATGGAGACTCCACCACAACTCTTGGTAAATTCTCTGAATAGTTAATTGCCCTCATTGTTTTTGAACGCTAGCAGGAAATTCAGCACTGCACAGACATAAAGGAAGACACAATCTCTGCCCAGAGGAGCTTCCAGTCTGAATCAGACAAAGACGCCCACATCATATTTCAGTGCTTGTATAATTCTGAAGAACTCCTCTATTGTAGGCTTCAATTCAGTACGTGACTAAAGTTTTCCAGCCTATGTGCCATACTGGCCTTAAGTGTGATATGAGAAACTATGCAGACATAGAGTCCTTCCAAAAAGCATTCAGTTTTATAAATATTTGAGTTCTCTGATTTTAAAAACGGGCATGAATAAATAATCTCTCTAAGATTCCATGTAAAATACTTGAAAGTGCATTTAAATTATTTTTGGCCACGAGTAAAATCCAGTTCTAGTATTTCTGGAAAAGCTGCCATACCCACCTGGGCTCACCCAGCTCTGGAGACTCAAAAGTTTTAACTAGGCTGTCCTGGGAAATATAAAATCAAGTCACTCTAGGAGGTCCTGGTTCTCCCCATCCCATCTCATATTTGAAACTGTGACCTTCACAAATAAAGTTCAGAAACTTTCCAAATCTACCTCACTAGCTGGTGATATGCACCAGATGTCACTTACACTCAATTCCTCAAGTGTTGTGGTTACCATGTGAATACTCACACACTCGCACATGTGCAGGCAGGCTAAATTGGCAACAATTTCACTTGGGAGGCTTTTAGGAACCTGGCCACTGAAGGTTGCCTTAGTACAGTGCCTGGCCTCCGTGGACCAGAGGGGTAAGAGAGAGGAGCCAGGAGCCTCTTGCAACATTGGGTGTCCCGAGCAGCCATGCTTCATGTTGCTGCCAAGCTGCCAGTACACATTTAAACCAAGATTATTCTGTTTTCATCGCCTTTAATGATAATAAAAAACAGGAAGCTTACAGTAAGTGCGAAGATTGGCATTTCATGTTTGGCTGAGAACTTGGTTTGAGCCAGATGGGGTTAACGGTGTTAAAGCTGGCCTGCAGCTACTTGCTAGCTCAAAGACTTTCTAAGCTCTGGTAGTGCCTGACACAGAGACATGCTCCACCAACAGATTTGCAGAATAGACCATTTCACTGTGGATCACAATTGCTTTCACATTAGAGGAGTAAGCCAGTTATACCTGCCATCAAAATAACTTTTAAAAAGTCCTTCAAATGAACCACATGAGTTTATGGCAGACATTCTAAGCTACAAAATTAGGGGCAAGCAGTGGTGCCATCAACGGTGATAGGTTATCACTGAAAATGGGGCTACTGGATGTCTTCTAAACCTGTCTGGAATGGATCTTAACCTGTATTAAAAAAGAACTTACTTACATAGATAACTAAAATGTGGCTAAAAGAAAAGGAGGACTTGTGGCACCTTAGAGACTAACCAATTTATTTGAGCATGAGCTTTCGTGAGCTACAGCTCACTTCATCGGATGCATACTGTGGAAAGTGTAGAAGATCTTATTATATTATGTTGTTATTATATTGTGTGTATATAATAAGATCTTCTACACTTTCCACAGTATGCATCCGATGAAGTGAGCTGTAGCTCACGAAAGCTTATGCTCAAATAAATTTGTTAGTCTCTAAGGTGCCACAAGTACTCCTTTTCTTTTTGCGAATACAGACGAACACGGCTGTTACTCTGAAACCTAAAATGTGGCTAGTGATTTTAAGTTTTGATCTTCCATTTCTTACCTCTGCCTGTTCTTTGACTTCTTGGAGCACAGTGATGATATCACATTTTGCCTTTACTGATGATAAAACAGATTGCAGTTTCTGCTGGTCCAGGGTTGAGACTAATAGCTGGTCCAAGCTAAAAATAATATACACATAAATGTAAAACGCTGCACTGTATTTCTGTCAGAATGAAGGGATATGTTTCAGTACTAAGTACAGTACATTTCACATTAGCATCAATTACCTGAGCTTTATCTCACCACTTTTGTTACTTTTATTTCTTTAAATGGTGAAAAACATTTTTCAGATGTGTCCTCCATTACAGCATCTTCACTTTAGGCAATTTACACCTCTGATTGCACACACGAATCAAGTGTTGAAAGGCTGTATAGTGTGGTGCAAAAAGGGAGGCCAAATTTAAATGGGCCTGGAAATGAAGCCCTATATCTTTCTTAAAGATCTGAACCACCAACAGGATAAAACAAAGGGAGATTATTTTTAAAAATATTGCTATTAGAGTGTCAGTGAGCTCAGTAATTGCCATATTAGGAAAAGCAAACTACAATGACAGGCTCCCATCTAAGGTGGGCAAGGGACAACAGTTATCTCACTTTAGATTACCAAAAAAAGAGAGAGAGAGAGAGAGAGAGTTAAAGGAAAGAAAGTGAAGGAGGGCTAGAGAGAAGGGAAATGTGGAATCTCTTCTAAACTGCTCAACACCCTAAAATCCCAGTGGCTTCATTTCAGTGCCTTGACCTAAGTGAATGTTGAGGGTGCTCAGGAATTTGCAACAGGCGCTCAGCACCGCATGGGATCCAGCCCGTTTTATACAGGGCATTTCAGCCATGAATGAAATGCAGCCACCTCTGCCATGTTTCTCACCGAACAGCCATAATATACAATACTTAAAGCTTGAGAAACACTGTGTCCAACTGATAGCGGAGTGAGGGCTTGATCTAAAGCCATTCTATTGAAATATAATTAACTTCAGTGGGCTTGCAATTAGGTCCTACATAACTGGAAGTTTTGCCTGAGAAAAAACTGCAGGAATGACAAGAACAATATTTCAGGAAATGCTTTTTCAATCAATAACCACAGAACATTAAACTAACCTGATTGACCAGCTTTTTTCTGATGGCTTCCTATCTGGGGAGCTGTCATGTGGCACATCATCGTCAGATGCTGACCCAGGAGTCCCCAAGCCACTATTCCAAGGACTACTCCCTTTAGAACATAGCCGATTCATTTTTGCAAGGTTGGAGAGGGCAGACGATGCATTCAGATTTGAAACATTTTCAGCAGGCAGGCCGAGTGATTTCCTGGGTGTAATTTCCAGTTCTGTTTTGAAATGGGTGGCCTCGGGTTCCACTGAGAAGTCCTCATTGCACAACTTGTCAAGATCTGGCATGCTCAATGCTCTGAGCTCTCGGAGCTTCATGCGGGACAGTGAATGCCTGCCACAACCCCTGCTTCTTCGGATGTGAGGTGTGGTGGGTGATGAGACATGCAGATCTCCTGAAGTGTCTTCTCCCTTGCTTTTCTTTAAATGAATGTCGTCTTTGCTGCTGTCTGCTGAATTCTGCTGTACATGTGCTAAGATTACATTTGTTTGCGATTTCTGAGCATATGTTGGACTTTGACTGTCGCTACATGAACTCAAACTTCGCCTCAATGTCTGCACTGCATCATTTGTGCTGGTAGTGCTTATGGAGGATATCCCACTAGATGATCGTCTACCAACGTATGGTTTAGAACTCATGGAGGTTGAATGTATGTCTATAGCTTTAACAACTGGTCTATCGAAATTTGCCAGATTCTCAAAAGATTTGATCCTCTGTTTCACAGAGAAAGATGAGGTAGATTCTTGTGGCCAGTTCAGTTCATAATAATAATAATTTCTCTTGAAAGTTTTTAGTTTATCTGTGGCAGGGCAGCTATTTTCATTAGCTAAAGAGAGCTGCTCCAGGCTTGGTTTCTGGACACTTTGGGGAGTGTGTATTTGCTCTTTTCCATCCTGGGTGCCCTGGCCATTCAGCACCCTGAGATGGACAATTTTTAGCATCCCTGAAACATTGTTCTGAACACCTTGCATGGGGTGTGCTGAAACATCTATAACATTACTGTCCTTCCTCAAATGACTCGACAACTGGGCTGGCATTGAGTAAGTCCTCGTCACGGTTTTGGATGCACTGTGTCGATTTCCATCCCCAACGGTATCTACTTGAGTGAAATACTGGCCATCCCCTATCTCCTCAGTTAACTGGCTGACCTTTGTATTAGTAGCTTCTGCCTTTTCCAGCAGCAGCTGCTCTGAAGATGGTGCTAGGGAGGAACAGGAGGAGGATAACCTCACCTCAATGAATGTGCGTTGGATTTCCTGGCCTTCTGGCTGCTCCTGCTGAATCGGGGGAGAACTCAGTGAGGAGGAGTGATTGTTACAGACTTCTAGGTTTTGAGGACCTAATTGCTGAATATCATCTTCACTGTAACTGCTGTTTATCAGGTTTATGCCTGCGCCATGGTTTTCAGCTCTCTTTTTCACATACTCACCTTTCAGCGTCTGCTTAGGAGAGGTAGTTACTTTGGTCGGATCTTCCCTAGCTTTGAAATCACCAGCATGCATCTTAACTCCCTTCTCATTACACACATGCTGCTGCACTGAAGCCGGCCTTTCTTTTTGTTTTTCACCTTCTCTCTGTTGCTCCATTTCCCCAGCAACACTTAGCTCACTATTGCCCCTTGATTGCTTTTCATTGTTTTCCACTGAGCTGCCGCTGCCATTCAACGGAGGTGGTGATGTTTCTTCAAGCACAGCTAGAGATGGTTTATCTTCTTGCTCGGATTTAAGAGTCTTAGAGACTGGTGGTGTGCTCTTGCCGGGTTCCACGTTTGTAGGTAGGTTACGGGACACAGAGACTTTCTTTCCTAGAAGCTTGGGTGATAACTGTGGAGAAACGGAAGTTCTTCTCTGATCAGTCCCACTAGCTTTTGCAGGATTAAAGCTCGGAGTCCTTTGGGCCATTGCCTTAATTTCACGATGCAATGTTTTCTGCGAGGTTGGGCTGTGCCGCGCTGTAACTCCTTTGCTGTAGCTTGTGCTGGAACTTTGGATTTTTGCCTTAGAACTTCTTCCCAATGGCCCACCATTAACTTTTTCATTTTTCCCTGACAAGTCCTGCGCCGTACCAGCCTTACTTCGATCTTTTGATTTAGTCGGAGTGGGTGACCTGGACGTGAGTGTTGATCTTTGTGATAAAGAGTCTATCCGATGACTATCAGTTTTATTCAAATTAGCCAGACTGTTTGTTTCCTTCTTTGTCAAAGCAGAATGATAACTAACCTTGTGATTGCACTCATTAGCCACCAGTTCACTTTCAAAATTGGATACTTGTTTTTTATCATGTTGTTCTTTGTCCAGCAAATTGCTTTCCAAGCCATTCACCTTCTCAGGAGTGCAGGAACTCATATTTTTGCTTTGCAAAGCCATATTATCTTTGGAAGACTCACACGGTTTCACAGATTTTTCATTGTTCTCCAAGCCCGTTCTGTCTTCTGTACTTAAGGCACCGTTGTTATGGAAGGAGCAAACTGGATGAACACCCAGTGGAGGGCTGAGGGTCTCTTTATCTGGTAGAGAAACTGAGGGGAAAGAATGTAAGGGAGTGGCTGGAACAGTATTTAAATGCTGTGGGGTGTGTAGAATTGAATTACATTGGTCTTCTAGTATAAATGGAGCTTTGTCATTGTTTGTATCCAGTGAACTATATACCGCACCGCTCTCTGTTTGTAAAACTTTTGCAGTGTGAGAGGATGGTGGGGAATGATGAAATATGCTTCTAGCAGATGTGAGCTGCTGATTCTCCTGAATCGGCTGATGTGGCTCATTAGTCATGCAGCAAATTTCAATTTGCTCCTCATCTGACTCTGTAATATTGCAGGTTTCAGAGGATTTACCATCAGCGGATGGCAAGAGCAAACTGTCACCAGTAGAATCCGGGGCTTCGGTGAGAGATTCTGTGTCTGAAGGAGAATCCTCCACAGCACCATACATTGATTTTGGAAATGGTTCATTTCTTGTATCTTCCACAGAGTCTGCTGCAGGCAAATCATCTACACTTAAACTGCTAAAATTCCTAGAATAGTTATTTAAGCAGCTTTTATTCACAGTGAAAAGTTTGCCTGTATTAATGGAATTCAGTACTGATAACCCCAAAATCCCCTGTGCATTAGCTGCATAATTCACAGTTTTTTCAGATAGCTCCTTCTTCGTTATATCTGGCTCAGAATTAGTAGAACAACCTTCCTCTGTCTCACAACTGCACTCAGCAGTGTACTCATCTCTGGGGCTTGCTACTGTCAGTAGAGACTGCGAAGTTCTATCCTCTGAAGAATTCAATTTGCTGATGAAGTCATCAATATCAGTGACTGGGCTCACAGCACAGTCCTTGACACAGCTGACCTCCGAGAAACCTGCTTGCACCTCTTCGGTCTTGGCATCAGGTGGCAGCATTGTTCTCTTTGTGACATTGTCTGGATTTTCGTTTCGCAAAGTCTTTTCTTCACATCTCCCAGAACTGGTTTCTTCTTCAGCTACAAGGATGCTGCAGGGGTCAGCCTGATCTGAACCATCTGTCCCTGAAGACATGAGGAGGTTTGTAAGTCTGTCCACAGCTGTATCAAGATAAAAAGAAAAAAAAAAGGCAAATAAAACACTTAACTCTCATTAGTTATGTTAATGGAATGTTACACGCAAAATATCGTGTTCTTACTACAAAAATAGATACACATATATTCTGGCTATATGTTTCCCTATAGCTCTGCCGTTCTTTTCTCCTGTAATGACTCTCATATTTCCAGAAATAATCGCATTCCAGCTGGATCAGAATAATATATGCGGGGGTAGAGGGGACTTATTTTTAGTGAGTAATTATGGTTTGTTTCATTCTTAACTTTGATGGTTAGTATCCTGTTTAAATTTCAAAGTGTAAGTACATAGCCAGTTGGGCCTGGCTGTGTTCATTCCCATTAACCCTAGAACAAAGAGGAGGAATACACAGTACCAGACTGAAAAAAATTGCACTGAATACCTGAAGACTAGTGCATTAATCAGAGGTGCTTAGGTACTGCAGTGATGAGAAACTGTATAAATGCTTTGGCTTTGGTCCCGCGAGCACTTGTGCATATGCTAAATTTTACACGTGAGTAAGGTTATGGGGGCATTGGTGTTTACGGGATTGTGGTCTTAGATCTTCTCTTTCATCTCATGAACATTCAGCCCAATTGCAGGCAATTTATTGACTGCCCACAACTCCATCCACTTATTCATATGCACATTCCCACTCACCCACCTCTCCCAGTTTGCTCAGTTACATCACAGATGACAGCAAGGAGGTGGGTTGTGTAAGGAGTACATATACGATTGGGAAGAGTTTCTGGCAAAATGGAGGAAACACTGGAGGAAGGAGGGAGGGAAGGAGAAAGGCCATTTTAGATTTGGTTTTGGTGAGTAGTGAGGACCTCATAGAAGAAATGGTTGTAGGGGATAATCTTGGCTCAAGTGATCATGAGCTAATTCAGTTAAAACTGAACGGAAGGATTAACAAAAATAAATCTGCAACTAGGGTTTTTGATTTCAAAAGGGCTGACTTTCAAAAATTAAGGAAATTAGTTAGGGAAGTGGATTGGACTGAAGAATTTATGAATCTCAAAGTAGAGGAGGCCTGGGATTATTTTAAATCAAAGCTGCAGAAGCTATCGGAAGCCTGCATCCCAAGAAAGGGGGAAAAACTCATAGGCAGGAGTTGTAGACCAAGCTGGATGACCAAGCATCTCAGAGAGGTGATTAAGAAAAAGCAGAAAGCATATAGGGAGTGAAGAAGGGAGGGATCAGCAAGGAAAGCTACCTTCTTGAGGTCAGAACATGTCGGGATAAAGTGAGACAGGCTAAAAGTCAAGTAGAGTTGGACCTTGCAAAGGGAATTAAAACCAATAGTAAAAGGTTCTATAGCCATATAAATAAGAAGAAAACAAAGAAAGAAGAAGTGGGACCGCTAAACACTGAGGATGGAGTGGAGGTCAAGGATAATCTAGGCATGGCCCAATATCTAAACAAATACTTTGCCTCAGGCTTTAATAAAACTAAAGAGGATCTTAGGGATAATGGTAGCATGACAAATGGGAATGAGGATATGGAGGTAGATATTACCATATCTGAGGTAGAAGCGAAACTCAAACAGCTTAATGGGACTAAAGCGAGGGGCCCAGATAATCTTCATCCAAGAATATTAAAGGAATTGGCACCCAAAATTGCAAGCCCATTAGCAACAATTTGTAATGAATCTGTAAACTCAGGGGTTGTACCATCTGACTGGAGAATTGCTAACACAGTTCCTATTTTTAAGAAAGGGAAAAAAAGTGATCCGGGTAACTATAGGCTTGTTAGTTTGACATCTGTAGTATGCAAGGTCTTGGAAAAAATTTTGAAGGAGAAGGTAGTTAAGGACATTGAAGTCAACGGTAAATGGGACAAAATACAACATGGTTTTACAAAAGGTAGATCGTGCCAAACCAACCTGATCTCCTTCTTTGAGAAAGTAACAGATTTTTTAGACAAAGGAAACGCAGTGGATCTAATTTACCTAGATTTCAGTAAGGCGTTTGATACAGTGCCACATGGGGAATTATTAGTTAAATTGGAAAAGATGGGGATCAATAGGAAAATTGAAAGGTGGATAAGGAATTGATTAAAGGGGAAACTACAATGGGTCCCACTGAAAGGTGAACTGTCAGGCTGGAGGGAGGCTACCAGTGCAGTTCCTCAAGGATCGGTTTTGGGACCAATCTTATTTAATCTTATTATTACTGACCTCGGCACAAAAAGTGAGAGTGTGCTAATAAAGTTTGCGGATGATACAAAGCTGGGAGGTATTGCCAATTTAGAGAACGACAGGGATATCCTACAGGAGGATCTGGATGACCTTGTAAACTGGAGTAATAGTAATAGGATGAAATTTAATAGTGAGAAGTGTAAGATCATGCATTTAGGGATTAACAACAAGAATTTTAGTTATAAGCTGGGGACGCATCAATTAGAAGTAACGGAGGAGGAGAAGGACCTTGGAGTATTGGTTGATCATAGGATGACTATGAGCTGCCAATGTGATATGGCCGTGAAAAAAGCTAATGCGGTCTTGGGATGCATCAGGAGAGGTATTTCCAGTAGGGATAAGGAGGTTTTAGTACCATTATACAAGGTACTGGTGAGATCTCACCTGGAATACTGTGTGCAGTTCTGGTCTCCCATGTTTAAGAAGGATGAATTCAAACTGGAACAGAAAGAAAAGGAGTACTTGTGGCACCTTAGAGACTAACCAATTTATCTGAGCATAAGCTTTCGTGAGCTACAGCTCACTTCATCGGATGCATACTGTGGAAAGTGTAGAAGATCTTTTTATACACACAAAGCATGAAAAAATACCTCCCCCCACCCCACTCTCCTGCTGGTAATAGCTTATCTACAGTGATCACTCTCCAAACACATTGTAAGGAGAGTGATCACTTTAGATAAGCTATTACCAGCAGGAGAGTGGGGTGGGGGGAGAGAAAACCTTTTGTAGTGGTAAATACCCATTTTTTCATGCTTTGTGTGTATAAAAAGATCTTCTACTTTTTCCACAGTATGCATCCGATGAAGTGAGCTGTAGCTCACAAAAGCTTATGCTCAAATAAATTGGTTAGTCTCTAAGGTGCCACAAGTACTCCTTTTCTTTTTGCGAATACAGACTAACACGGCTGTTACTCTGAAACTGGAACAGGTACAGAGAAGGGCTACTAGGATGATCTGAGGAATGGAAAACTTGTCTTATGAAAGGAGACTCAAGGAGCTTGGCTTGTTTAGCCTAACTAAAAGAAGGTTGAGGGGAGATATGATTGCTCTCTATAAATATATCAGAGGGATAAATACCGGAGACGGAGAGGAATTATTTAAGCTCAGTACCAATATTGACATAAGAACAAATGGATATAAACTGGCCACCAGGAAGTTTAGACTTGAAATTAGACGAAGGTTTCTAACCATCAGAGGAGTGAAGTTTTGGAATAGCCTTCCAAGGGAAGCAGTGGGGGCAAAAGATCTATCTGGCTTTAAGATTAAACTCGATAAGTTTATGGAGGAGATGGTATGATGGGATAATATGGTTTTGGTAATTAAATATTCATGGTAAATAGGCCCAATGGCCTGTGATGGTATATTAGATGGGGTGGGATCTGAGTTACCCAGGAAAGAATTTTCTGTAGTATCTGGCTGGTGAATCTTGCCCATATGCTCAGGGTTTAGCTGATCACCATATTTGGGGTCGGGAAGGAATTTTCCTCCAGGGCAGATGGGAAGACGCCCTGGAGGTTTTTCGCCTTCTTCTGTAGCATGGGGCACGGGTCACTTGCTGGAGGATTCTCTGCTCCTTGAAGTCTTTAAACACGATTTGAGGACTTCAATAGCTCAGACATGGGTGAGAGGTTTTTTGCAGGAGTGGGTGGGTGAAATTCTGTGGCCTGCGTTATGCAGGAGGTCAGACTACATGATCATAATGGTCCCTTCTGACCTAAATGTCTATGAATCTATGAAAGGGAAGCATGCTGTTGGGAAAAGCGCCAACCTGCCCATATCCCTGCTACCACAAGCCTCTTCAATGCTTGGGCTAACCTAGGGATTTAGGAATGGGACTTCCTGGCCTGCCAGAAAGCCCTTAAAAAACAAATGGTGTCTAAGCATCACTCATTTGGAAACTAGTTAGACCTCTAAGTATTAACAGTTGAACAAATAAGAGTGTATTTCAGCTAAGACAGAACAAAACGTCGTGCTGCTCCTGAACGTGCAACATGTACCATTTTTTTCAGACACTGTTTGCCACAGTACATTATTCTTTTAAAAACTGTAGATACAAACATACTGCAGGATAAGCATAAATCTTCTTAGTGGGAAGAACTAGGTATCAACATTTCCACCTAAACTAGAAACAACTCTTTACAACAAAAATGCAAATAGCCATTTCAACAAGATTCAAGCAGTACACGTCTGTTTTTACAATTTCTTTCTGAGCAGTAGAACTTTCTGATTTACCAAGAAAGAGCCTGGATTTCATTATTTTACTATCTGATCCCAAAATACAACTTAAACTTCACATTTTAAGAGACAGATTCGACTAAAAGGATCAGAGTATTTAAATTATTATACACAATTATGTATCATATGCATAGTCAAATTAACTTGTCATTTATCAACAAGACATTGACTGCAAATTTGATTGTCATGCTTGACCCTAATACTTCCATAATTAAATTCCCTGATGGGTTAACTTGACTCTGCATTAGATGGTTAAAAGCATTAAATATTTTGATGCTTTTTGTCAAATATTCTGGAGCTATTATTTTAAATGTGAGCTTTAAACCTTCAGGTCAGGATGACGAAACAGCACTTCATGATGACTTGTTATAAATGACTGAAAATCTGTCTCCGTAATGAAATACTTTATCATCAACATCAATACACACTCACACACACCACTTTTTCTGAATTATCTCAGTTGCCAGGTCAGCAAAACACCTGATCAAGCTTTTCCCACTTACGTATTCCAAACCAACAGTATAAGAGTAAAAAAATGCTCTCACCTGATACTGCCTTTTGCACCTCTAGTGTTACAGACCTGGGGAGATTCTGTATGAACAGACAGATTTCCTGGGATGTCATTCCACTGACTGGGGTACTGTTGATGGATAAAATCTCATCTCCTACTGTCAGCTTTCCCATAGATCCCTAATACGGTTACAGAGATAAATGAATGTAAATACCTGAGAGGCTCTATCACAGAAGCAGAGGGCATAGCTTACAGTACAAGAATAAATGTTTTACAAGCAATGCTCCCAGTTTATAGTGGTTACAGAAGGCAGAACACAGGATATATTTAGTTTACAGACAAGTAAAGTGAGGAACAGAATGTCGCTCACTCTTTGTGTTTACCAAGCGGGGGATCTGATGACAGAAGGAACCTCCCAGTCTTTGTGACTCTGCACAGAGACCACGTATCTCTCAGTGAAGACATTGGAGGTGTTGCTTGGCTCCCACAGAGGCTGGTATGAGGAAGAGGCCATGGTCACTTTCCTCTAGAGAACGAGGAGTACTTGTGGCACCTTAGAGACTAACAAATTTATTTGAGCATACGCTTTCGTGGGCTAAACCTCACGTCATCGGATGCATGCAGTGGAAAATACAGTAGAAAGATATATATATACACAGAGAACATGAAAATGTGGTGTTGCCATACCCACTATAACGAGAGTGATCAGTTAAGGTGAGCTATTATCAGCAGGAGAAAAAAAAACACTTCATCAGATGCATAGAATGGAACATATAGTAAGAAGATATATATACATACAGAGAACATGAAAAGGTGGAAGTTGCCATACCAACTCTAAGAGGCTAATTAATTAAGATGAACTATTATCAGCAGGAGAAAAAAAACTTTTGTAGTGATAATCAAGATGGCCCGTTTCAGACAGGAGCCTATCCTTGCAACAAAGCCTGATGCCAACTCTGTCCACATATCTATTCAAGTGACACCATCAAAGGACCTAACCACATCAGCCACGCCATCAGAGGCTCGTTCACCTGCACATCTACCAATGTGATATATGCCATCATGTGCCAGCAATGCCCCTCTGCCATGTACATTGCCAAACTGGACAGTCTCTACGCAAAAGAATAAATGGACACAAATCTGACATCAGGAATCATAACATTCAAAAACCAGTGGGAGAACACTTCAACCTCTCTGGTCACTCAATAACAGACTTGAAGGTGGCAATTTTGCAACAGAAAAGCTTCAAGAACAGACTCCAACAAGAAACTGCTGAACTAGAATTAATTTGCAAACTAGATACCATTAACTTGGGCTTGAATAGAGACTGGCAGTGGCTGGGTCATTACACAATTGAATCTATTTCTCCATGTTAAGTATCCTCACACCTTCTTGTCAACTGTCTGAAATGGGCCATCTTGATTATCACTACAAAAGTTTTTTTTCTCCTGCTGATAATAGCTCATCTTAATTAATTAGCCTCTTAGGAGTTGGTATGGCAACTTCCACCTTTTCATGTTCTCTGTATGTATATATACCTTCTTACTAGATGTTCCATTTTATGCATCTGATGAAGTGGGCTGTAGCCCATGAAAGCTTATTCTCAAATAAATTTGTTAATTCCAATTCAGCAATTTCTTGTTGGAGTCTGTTTTTGAAGTTTTTTTATTGAAGAATTGCCACTTTTAGGTCTGTAATCGAGTGACCAGAGAGATTGAAGTGTTCTCCGACTGGTTTTTGAATGTTATAATTCTTGACGTCTGATTTGTGTCCATTTATTAATTATTATTATTTAATAATAAACTATTATTTCCCTATGCTTATTTTTCCCCCTACTGTTATTCACACCTTCTTGTCAACTGTTGGAAATGGGCCATCCTGATTATCACTACAAAAGGTTTTTTTTTTCTCCTACTGATAATAGCTCATCTTAACTGATCACTCTCGTTATAGTGGGTATGGCAACACCCATTTTTTCATGTTCTCTGTGTATATATATATCTTCCTTCTGTATTTTCCACTGCATGCATCCGATAAAGTGAGGTTTAGCCCATGAAAGCGTATGCTCAAACAAATTTGTTAGTCTCTAAGGTGCCACAAGTACTCCTCGTTCTTTTTGCTGATACAGACTAATACGGCTGCTACTCTGAAGCCTTTCCTCTAGAGAGGTATTCTGGCTGAATGAACCATAGTTTCTCTAGGATCTCCCAAAGCAGTGCTGCCTCCTAGTTATCACCTCCTAGCATTTGACCAGGAACTTGGGACCCTACTCAACTCCCATTAAACCAATCTGAATCTTTTCACTGCCTTAAAGAGGAGCAGGTATCAGGCCTTTAAGGCATAGGATAAAAATATTTCCCAAGGTTACACAATGAATCAGTGGTTAAGATAGGAATAGGGACCCAAGGATCATGACTCTCAGACCCCTGTTCAAACCACTATGCCATACTCCCTCACAACAGTAAAGATTCACTAAATCAGCGAAGAATACCACGTCACACTTTGTTCACACAAAAATTCTTTGTACTGTTGAACAATTTGCCTAAGGTCAGCATTCTGTATACATGCCAAGCAATTATCCCCACTGTAACAAGCACAGACAGAGTGCAGAGTAGATAATAAAATAAATTAAAAAATAACAGGAGAGAATGGTTATACCCTAAATTGCAATATAATTCTTGCCTATTAATAAGCAATGTACATTTTATCATTAATACTTTATGTTTCTAAATCACTTCTCTTCCTTACATAAACCTTCTTTTGTTTCTGGCAAAGTAGAAAAATTGTAGTGAGCCCTAAAACAATAATTACTAATATGGATTATTTCATTTTGGTATGTTTTTGCTGGTTGACTATTTCAAGCTTAAATCAGATGGGGCATGACTGTCTCTAAAACACGTAGTTTAATGGCATATTAGAAAGATAAGGAATAAGACTTTTTTTTCCAGTGGAGGTAAATCTCTCATTTGCGTGCTTGTATAAAAGCTCACTTATCAAATATTAATCTCCAGAAAGAGAAACCCATGAGTAAACATCCACAAAGTGACTCATATTTTTAAAATGTTACCCTTTCAGCTGCTCCGCCTGATCGTAAACCTGTTATCACAACTCTTACGGGAGTGGCCTGGATCTCCAAATCCAGGCCAAATGATTCATCTTCATTCCGCAGCAGATTAACTGTTTCAGCATTGCTCTGCTTGGGGATGTCGGGTCCTTCAGTCTTTTTGCTGTGTGGAAGTGTCCTGGCAACAGGCTTATGACAGGAACCGTGCTCTTCCATCTTCTGCCTTGGGAGATTGCGGCACTCAGTGCTCATCATGCTTTTTACTCTTGTAACGGCTTTGTGCTCCAGTTTAGGGGATCTCATAGATTCAAGCTGTGCCTCTCGGAGCTCCTTCACTCCCAGATTAGTAGGATAAATCTCAGGCATACCTGAGTAATCAAGTGCTTTGATTTGAAAGAAGGACAAATCCACCATTTGCTCTAGGGCACTCTCCTCAGTCACCGAGGAGTTGCTGAACACAGGGGTAGCTGCCTTACTGCCAGGGTGTCGAGACAATTCACCATCCTGGCCTTCATCATCAACTTCAACGAAAGAGGTTGTGATGACCATGCCAGAGTCTTCCTTGGCATTTTTCTGGTTCTTGTCCCCCAGGCTCCTTTGGAAGTGGACCTCTTCTTGCTTGACAAAATCATCCTCGTCGCTAACATTGCCATCATAGAAAACAACTCTTCTCTGCCTCAGCAGTGGGCTGCGGACAGACTTGGGACTACCATTAAGGCTCCCCTGTCGGGCAGATTCCACGTGCTTGTTGAAAAGACCAGGTGACTTTCCACTGGTTGGTGAAGCAAGACTGTCCACTTTGGTTGTTCCTGCTTCTTTAGCAGCTAGAAAAGAATTTATTACATTTTTAATTGCGCTTATTGGACTAGTTTTATGCTGAGCATTCTACTGCAGCCACTTTAAAAGAGACACGCTTGTTTGCAACAGAGGATTTTCGCTGTGTCTGCGTAGAAAGCCTGAGCTGTTTTTCCATGTCCTCCACTTTAAAACATACCTACGGTACAAAAGCACTAGAAATGAAAGATGGTCTTGTGATTTATGGGTGCTTCCTGTTCATTACACATCTGGTTTTATTCTCATTCTGCTTCTGAACCAGGACTGTGCCCACAAGAAGAAAAGGGAGCACACACACATTTATTTTTTAAGTTCAAACAGTGGAAAATCCCTGTAATTCTGCTTTAATGTAGGTACAGAGTTGACCTAATCGATTCACAGTGAGAGAGAGAAAAAGACACTCAGGCAAAACACAAGCACACAATCTGTTTCATTCTAAAGGCTGGGTGATCTAAGACTTCCTGGTCATATCCTTCTTATCAAAAACTAAATATATAATATATACTCATACGGATATAATATAATACAAGCTTATTTTGTGTAGTCTCTTTCACACAAACCATATCCAAAATTGCTTTGTTGAATTAAATAATGAAATTTCAGAGATAAATACTGGCAAAGGCAGAGACTATCTGAGAAGTATAGAAATATATCTGCTCTTCCTTGCCTATCTGATTCTTGAATTGAGATGGAGACTCAATATAGAAGAGAAACAAGACTGTTCCAGGTAGACCATAGAAAGGAGAAAGATCTCACAACATGTGCAAAATATATTATGGGAGCACCATATATTCTGGTGTAAAGACAAAGTTTCATGTATCTGAGATATTTAAGACTGGTCTGATTTAAATGTAATCAATCAGATAATCACGAGTGGCTTGATTAACTTGCAATGATAACTTAGATTTGGTCAGCCAAACCAATAATATAAATTTATTCTCTAGTCAACTAGTCAGAGTTGCAATCCAGTCACACACTATGCACATTGTATTTAGATTCCTTCTTTCATTTTCTGAAGCATCACATTACAACCTGTTGGCTCGCACTGGACTAGCTGACATTTCTACCCAAAATGTGACATTCCTGACCCAACACATGCAATGACTACCCCACATACATCTTGCCATTTCTTTCAATATCTGTGGCTTACTTAGATTGCTGGGAGGAAGAGAGCTGTCATCCAAAGAGCTGTTTCCACTTTTTTGACGGAGCTGCTCTTCATCACTGGAGACCGTTACTTGTGTGTCAGAAAATGACACCTGACTTGGCCCATCTTGTGAGAAGTACTGGGAAAGCTCTGTTTCAGAACTGACAGATCCCTGCTGAAAGGAAAATAAGTAAATAAAACTGGTGACTGGTGGTCATTTATGTTAATAGCACCCAGTGTGTATACTATCTAAACATCACTAACTTCAGCCTCATAACACATTGGTAACTACAGTAAAGATTAACATCCCAATTCTACAAACAGGGGCACTGAGCCACAGTGAGATTAAGGCTAACATTTTCAAACTTAGGGTTTGTCTACATTACCTGCAGGATTGATGGGCAGCGATCGATCCAGTGGGGGTCAATTTATTGCATCTAGTCTAGACACGATAAATCGACCACTGAGTGCTCTCCCATCAACTCCGGTACTCCACCAGTGCGAGAGACGCAGATGGAGTCGACGGGGGAGCACCCAGCTGTCGACTCACCGCAGTGAAGACACTGTGGTGAGTAGATCTAAGTACGTCGACTTCAACTACGTTATTCACGTAGCTGAAGTTGCATAACTTAGATAGGTTTCAGAGTAACAGCCGTGTTAGTCTGTATTCGCAAAAAGAAAAGGAGTACTTGTGGTACCTTAGAGACTAACCAATTTATTTGAGCATGAGCTTTCGTGAGCTACAGCTCACTTCATCAGATGCATACCGTGGAAACTGTAGATAGATTCCCGCCCCCCCACACACACACAGTGTAGACCAGGCCTTAGGTGGCTGAAGTTAATGAATGAGGGAGGCAACCTAGTGACAGAGGATGTGGAAAAAGCTAATGTACTCAATGCTTTTTTTGCCTCTGTCTTCACGAACAAGGTCAGCTCCCAGACTGCTGCGCTGGGCATCACAACATGGGGAATAGATGCCCAGCCCTCTGTGGAGAAAGAGGTGGTTAGGGACTATTTAGAAAAGCTGGACGTGCACAAGTCCATGGGGCCGGACGAGTTGCATCCGAGAGTGCTAAAGGAACTGGCGGCTGTGATTGCAGAGCCATTGGCCATTATCTTTGAAAACTCGTGGCGAACGGGGGAAGTCCCGGATGACTGGAAAAAGGCTAATGTAGTGCCAATCTTTAAAAAAGGGAAGAAGGAGGATCCTGGGAACTACAGGCCAGTGAGCCTCACTTCAGTCCCCGGAAAAATCATGGAGCAGGTCCTCAAAGAATCAATCCTGAAGCACTTACATGAGAGGAAAGTGATCAGGAACAGTCAGCATGGATTCACCAAGGGAAGGTCATGCCTGACTAAACTAATCGCCTTCTACGATGAGATTACTGGTTCTGTGGATGAAGGGAAAGCAGTGGATGTATTGTATCTTGACTTTAGCAAAGCTTTTGACACGGTCTCCCACAGTATTCTTGTCAGCAAGTTAAAGAAGTATGGGCTGGATGAATGCACTATAAGGTGGGTAGAAAGTTGGCTAGATTGTCGGGCTCAACGGGTAGTGATCAATGGCTCCATGTCTAGTTGGCAGCCGGTGTCAAGTGGAGCGCCCCAGGGGTCGGTCCTGGGGCCGGTTTTGTTCAATATCTTCATAAATGATCTGGAGGATGGTGTGGATTGCACTCTCAGCAAATTTGCGGATGATACTAAACTGGGAGGAGTGGTAGATACGTTGGAAGGCAGGGATAGGATACAGAGGGACCTAGACAAATTGGAGGATTGGGCCAAAAGAAATCTGATGAGGTTCAATAAGTATAAGTGCAGAGTCCTGCACTTAGGACGGAAGAACCCAATGCACAGCTACAGACTAGGGACCGAATGGCTAGGCAGCAGTTCTGCGGAAAAGGACCTAGGGGTGACAGTGAACGAGAAGCTGGATATGAGTCAACAGTGTGCCCTTGTTGCCAAGAAGGCCAATGGCATTTTGGGATGTATAAGTAGGGGCACTGCCAGCAGATCGAGGGACGTGATCGTCCCCCTCTATTCGACATTGGTGAGGCCTCATCTGGAGTACTGTGTCCAGTTTTGGGCCCCACACTACAAGAAGGATATGGATAAATTGGAGAGAGTCCAGCGAAGGGCAACAAAAATGATTAGGGGTCTGGAACACATGAGTTATGAGGAGAGGCTGAGGGAGCTGGGATTGTTTAGCCTGCAGAAGAGAAGAATGAGGGGGGATTTGATAGCTGCTTTCAACTACCTGAGAGATAGTTCCAGAGAGGATGGTTCTAGACTATTCTCAGTGGTGGAAGAGGACAGGACAAGGAGTAATGGTCTCAAGTTGCAGTGGGGGAGGTTTAGGTTGGATATTAGGAAAAACTTTTTCACTAGGAGGGTGGTGAAACACTGGAATGCGTTGCCTAGGGAGGTGGTGGAATCTCCTTCCTTAGAAGTTTCAAGGCTTGACAAAGCCTTGGCTGGGATGATTTAATTGGGGATTGGTCCTGCTTTTGAGCAGGGGGTTGGACTAGATGACCTCCTGAGGTCCCTTCCAACCCTGATATTCTATGATTCTATGAAGTTAGGCACCTGAAACCATATTTCATCACCAAAAGTAACCTGATTTTCAGACACCCTCAATTTGTAGAGGTGGGTATGCAGCACAGCAATCAGGCGTTAAACCATTCACCTTTATGATTCCCTTTAAGTCCCTCCCTTATTGAAAGACTACAGGTACTTGTACTCCTTCTCTGGGACTGACTGTATTTCCTACTTGGCCTTTCCAGAAAAAAAAATTTCCACCACTATTACAACATAAATAACTGAGTAAATGGTTTCTGTATTAGCAGATTCTATGTTCCAAGGACCACGACCTACTCACCATCTCAGTGCCAATATGAATACACCATTGAGCAGAGCTCACTTTTTACAAGACTGAAATTAAACCACAGCACATGACAAGTGGGATTCTGATAAGTGACTACTGTGGTCCCATTCAGGGGACAGCCTTCCAGGCCAGCCCCACTACAGGTCGCTTCTAGAAGCTGCCTGCAGAGTAGACCTAAAGGAGAGTTTTCTATTGCTGACAGTGCCTGTGTCCCAAGAATATGGCTTAACTAATGGAACCCCTTAGCATGACACAGGTGTGACATGGAAGAAGCGTAGATCTTTTGTTCTGAGCAATCCAATTCTTTGGTAAAAGCTTATCCTAAAAAGTCATCTCTTTGTGTTGTATTTTAATTTGTTTACCCGACTTGCTGGCTCCAGGAATCGTTTCATTGTCCAGCTCAGGGGCGATGAGGCCTCTCCTTGTTTGGCTTTCACACTAGGGGATGGACTTTTCTGAAGAATCCCTGTTAAACATGATTCAATTAGAGACCAAAAATTAAAGCTACAGAATACGTACCCAAGCAAGCAGAGCACTGGTCTGTCTAGATATTTATACACTGCGCATCACCATATTATCTGAGTCCCTTTAAAAACAAGTTTTATTTTACTTAACAAGTCTCTGATATATCTCTCCATCCCCCAGATAAGCTGCTACTTAGTTACTTAGGGCTTGTCTACACTGGCACTGTACGGTGCTGCAACTTGCTCACTCAGGGGTGTAAAAAACCACCTCCCGGAGCGCAGCAACTTTCAGTGCCAACAAGCACCAGTGTAGACAGTGCCCCAGCGCTGGGAGCTGCGCCCCTCGTGGAGGTGATTTTTTTAGAGTGCTGGGAGCTACCGCCCCTTGTGGAGGTGGGTTTTTTAGAGCACTGGGAGAGTACTCTCTCCCAGCGCTGTGCCGTGACTACACAAGCCACATTAAAGCATGATATCGTCCCTCCTGCTTCCAGCCATACACTAGGAGAGGGAGGGTGGAGGTCACTGGGAAAGGTCTGTTCCAAAATGGCTGTATCTCTGTTCGTAGAAAACCATTTTGGTGTAAATAAGCTTGATTAAAAAAAAAACTAACATTTTTGTCTGAAAACCAGCTAGTTAGTCATTCTTCCAATTTGAAGCAGAAAGGGGAATGTTCTCTTCGTCTTCTATTAAGGAATAATGTAATTAGAGTTCCACGTTTTCCTACAAGTTCACTTTCATCTGTAGGATTTTAGAAATGGCTAATGCCATGTTCAAACACAGATGGGACATCCCAACTGAGGGGCCATGTTGAAAATTTGCTAGCAACCTGATGGCCATATCTAATTTGTTAAAAATGAACTAGGCTGTAGCTGCTCTTTTCTTGAACATGGAGGTGTGACTTGGGCAGCCTCCCAATCCCAGAATGCAATGCTCTGTCCTGATCATTAGATCAGGATGGAGTAGTAACCTCCTCACACTCTGACGTTACGGTGATTGGTGCCTCAGAGATATCTAAAACAGATACACAGTGCTAAGGATGCGGGCTGTGTGGCAGCTATGACTGAAATACATAACGTTTTTTAATTAACATAGTACTGTGGAAAGAGTGGAACGTTTCTCAATAGGAGTTTTAAATATTTATGACTGCAAAGATCCCAATAGCACTCCAGTAAATGTTGCCGTGTATGAAAAATAATGGACAGATTGACACAACATAGAAAAAGAACATGTTGCTACCTGTGACATGAGGGGGATAGGCATCCTTGCTCTCTCGATGAGTGGTGCACGCTATTGCTTCATCCATCTCCTGTTCAGAAACCTAATTTTAGTAGAAAAGAGATGATGTGAGTTTGCTGTAGAACATAAGCAGCTAAGATCAGAGTCTGAGCACTGATCATCACAAATATTCAGTCAAGATTTACTGTTGTTTTAGAGGTCTGTGCAAAGGAATGTGAAGAGCTCTCAAGTTCTGGTCTTAGCTCTGAATCAGACTTCCTCTGTGACCCTGAGCTGGTCTCTTTAGAAGGGGTATGAGGAAAACATGGCCAGCCTATTACAAAGTCAAAGATGTCAAAGTGTCACACTAAATGCACAAATGTTAAATAAAAAAGTTGCATCAGGCTTGCATAAATAAAGCGAACAACATTATCATGCCATGCATTTTATCCAAGTAGCTCGCTACCTTCATATTCTAGAGAAATGTATATGAAAATATTAATTTTTTAAAATATTCAGCAATTTGTCTAAAATATTCCATCAGTAAAAGACATGTTAAATTAAAAAGTATGAAAATGCCAGATTTCCTGAAATACTAGCTGACTTTTCTCTTAACCCCCCCCCCCCTTACCAAATAAATAAATAAATCGGTAATTGGTAACTGTAATATTTTCCGCATATAAAAATACACTGCAGTTACATGTTGCATTTGAAATATCTGGATTATTCTAACACACCCACCCTCAGAAATTTCTAGAAGACATTATATGTAGTCTTAGAACTGGAGCTGCTGGGGAGCAGGAATACATAACAACCCAGGTTTCTGGTTTGAGATATGCCCCAACGTGATTTCAATTCACTCAACTTTACATGAATTATAACTCGGCACAGAGACAGGTCAGAAAGCTGAACCGCTTTGAACTAAGAGGATCTGAATTATCCCTAAGCAAACTCAGCAGTTTAAACATAATTTAAATGCCACATCCACTAACAATAACAGAAGAAAGAAAACCTTTGTGGTATTTCTCTTGGAAATACATAAAAATACTGAAGCTTGTATATTCAGTAACAAAACTTTCTGTGGAGCTTTTGTGTGATGAAGTGGGGGATTAAACATAATAAATGTATGAAACAACATGAACCTTAACAAAAATATCTTTGTTTTCAGACCGTGGGATGGCACTGCAGCTGAGAAATATTAACCAAGAGCCTCACCCACACTCCTGCCATTTTTTCTGTAAAAGGTCTCAAGTGGTATAAAGAGGCCTTAAAAGCCCCGGATCCAGCTGGGGAGGATTCCATGGGGCGGGAGCTGATGAAGACATCCAAAGGCAAGTCCAGCATGAGGAGTGTGAGGGGGACTATGTGAGGCCACAGAACTGGGGAGATTCTGGGAAGCACTGTGACCACAGGCAGCCAGGGACAGGATGCTGTCACTTAAACAGTGGTCTAAATAACAACCAGGATTTAGGAGGTACAAAGATGGTGTGAAGATGCCATAGCCCCTTCCCCACACCAAGCTGAGAGTTCTGTGCTATTGTCTCATCATAGAGTTTACGGTATATGTGAGGTCCAGGAAGGTCCAACATTTTTCCAGAAGCTGGGAATGGACAATGGGACGGATCACTCAATGATTGCCTGTTCTGTTCATTCCCTCTGAAGCACCTGGCATTGCCCGCTGCTGGAAGACAGGATACTGAGCTGGATGGACCATTGGTCTGACCCAGCATGGCTGTCCTTATGTTATGTAGGATGCCTTTTTTGTGCAATGAGAAGAAAAAACAAAATACCAACTCCAGAAAGATCTCTTTTTTCAGTTCTGTCTACATCAGGAGTGTCAAACTTATTCTGTGAAGAGGGACAAATGCAATTATTAATTAGCATATGTGGTCTGGGGTATAAATTCACAGCTACATATATGCAATCTAGGCACAGCAGATCCCCAGTGATATTAATTGAAGGAGAGTGAAAAGATCTAGGGTAGAATATGGTCTTCATTGAGGCCTATATTTTTAAGTGTCACTAGTGAACCTGGGTGCCTGACCTGGGTTTGTCTTTCTTCGCACTATATTTCCCAGTCCCCACCACCATGTAAGAATCATTCCAACCCCAGCTTCTGAAGTGATCAGCAACCAATGAGCAGTTGAAAGGGCAGAATTATGCTCTTGAGTCAACACTCAATTTAGATGAATGAGGATAGGGCAGGGAAGAGAGTTTGCACTCCCTGGATAATTGTTTCAAGGTGTTCACAGTCTCATGGTAAAAGGTGCCTTATAATACTGCAGTCAACGAACTACAACACTGTCCAACACAATACATAGACTTGTTCTGCTGGTCTTACATTTTGGGCCCAATTCTGGCTCCCTGTCCCTTGCTCTACCCCAGAAGGTCTCAAACATTTTTTTGTCAACAGACCCCTTTTCACGTTAATGTTAATCACGGACCCCGAACTGAGAAACTGATGGATAAAGGTATATGTGTACTTCATATAAACATGTACTGTTAGTAAAGCTTTAAGGAAAAGAGCATCCGAGTACTTACAGATGTCAGTGAGATGGATGTGCCTGCTTCTTACTGCAGAGTCTATCTATCATTGGTGTGATTGTTGGCATTTTGAGGACCCCCCATGCAATCTCTAAGGACTCCCTGGGTTCCCAGGACCTCAGTTTGAGAACTGCTGCTCTACCCAATAGATGAACTGCCTCTCCTTCAGTTATCAGAAGCCCTAGCAGTGATCACGGAATAGCCTTGTATGGAGGCCCACTAGTGCCTATCATCGGTACATCTGAATTGTCAGAAAATAAATACCACCTGTGGCCTCTACATTACAAGTTTTTCTCAAGCTACATATTGTTACCTCCAGGATAGGAATGCCAAATCATTCTGGTCAATACGGCAAATTAGAATTCAGAGCACTTGTGCCTTATAAACAGGTTTCCATTTGTATTTAGGAATTCAAAAGTCAAAGCTTTCCTGATCTCCCTAAAACAAATATTTTCCCAACTACATTCCTGTACAGCCTACAAGGTTTTATAAGCCCATGAAATTCTTTGGATGGTAAAATAAAACAAGTTATTATTCCATACTGCTTGGATGAAGGAATCTCTTATCTTTCATCACCAATAAAAGAAGTAATTTGCTTGAAAATAATTATACACTTTATAAATGCAGACATTTTAAAATTCCCCTGGCACAGATTCTGCAGAAGCAAGACATCATGGATTCATTTCTTCTACAGGAAAACTTCAATGTTTGGACAGGTTAACATTTTTAAAAGGTGCTGTATTCATTATTTTGTTATAGTTTATTGACTCAATCTGCTGATATTTATCCCTGGCAGCTACTGTTCAAATTCAATTCCACCCAAAGTGACTGTAACAATGAAGGTGATATGTACAGTACTTATGTTGTCAGCTTCAAATTCATAGGTTTGTCACTTAGTCCAACTGTGAACAAATCAGTGAGCATGACAACTGGAATATCTCACAGAAAAATAAGTGCTCAGTGAAAGCCACAACTGGTGGATAGTGCCAATGCTGCAAGAAAGTTCCAACACAACTATGGATTCATAGATAAGAAGGGACCATCACAATCATCTGGACTGACCTCCTGTGTTACACAGTCCATGAAATTACCTGGAGAGAAAATACAATGTTCTCCATTCGCCACATCTCAAACATTCACACCCAGATTGCAAGAACAAAGGAAAGCAATGTGCAACTATACGAAACTGTCTTTTCCTCACCTTGGGATTGGGATGACGACTAATGATAAGGCTAACTGGACCCGGACCACATTCACTCAGAATGGCATAGGCTTCACTTAGTGCTGCATGGCGCAGACTCACTGAATCTGCCTCCAGGATCTGGTCACCCCGGCTAGAAAGACAAATACAGCCAGTTAGCACATCTGTCTCATATAAAACATTTGGACTGTTGATCAGTGGCCAAACTTTTCAAAGACACATATCTGGAAGAGATTTGATTTGGAAAAAACGGTCCAGCTCTTGCTCCCATTGACGTGCATGATGATACTGCTTTGATGTCACTGCAACCACCAGCAAGATCCAATGCTTCTTTTTTGCACTTACTGTCAGTGCAACACAGTATATTTCATCAGTGCATAAAATTGATTGCACCAGACTAGAGTGAAAGTGAACTTCTGGCTCCAGTTGTAGGTATTGTTGTTTTCTGAGCACAGAAGCCAAACATTATATGCAGACAGGTTATTCCTTACCACCATCCTGAATTACTTAAACACACAGCACCTTTTTAACAGGCTCCAAACAAATCAGTTTATGAAACTGTTTCGAAATTTGAACTAAAGAGAAATTGGGTGAGAGGCACCCCATTTTCCCTTGAAATTGAGGTAACAGAACCCAGTTTGATCAAACAATGCCTCTTCTGTGACAGGACTGTAAATTGTTAATTTCAGTTCCTTCATTCTTGACAGCTCTTGGAGTATCGACATCTGGAACCATTCAAAAAAGGATAATCATCTAGAGATATTACTGCTGCATTTTCCATGATTATTAGAAACATCTTCTTTAACAGGGATTTTCATACAATCTACTGGCTTTAATTAACTTTCCTTTTAATTTGAATCAATTGTGATGATTAACTGAAATGTAGTTTTCACCAAAAGTCTAACCGCCAGAAGCAAATTCAAATGGCAGCTGATGTCACATAACATCATTTCAATAGTCCACAATCTATTTTGGTGTGTGCATTGTGCAATTTTTTCACTGCTTTGACAGTCTGTATGTTTAGAAAGGCATAGCCTAGTAATCCAAAGACACAAGTCTTTATCTACAAAGAGGCAACCATAGAACAGTTAGAAATGGGCTAAATCTGGAACCATTTACACACACACACACGTACGTTCGAGGGGGCTCAGATAAGTAGGATCTGAATCCAAACCCTCTCTTGTTTTGCAAAGCCAGAATCTGACTAATGAGGCTTTGTGAAACCAAAATCAAAACCACCTTCACAGCTTTACCATATGGAATCAAAAACTGCTGATGAGACAAGATGTCTCACAAAAAATCATCTCAAAAAGTGAGCTAGAAAACTGGGATGCATGAATGGATATAGTCAGCCACTTACCCTAATAAATGATGCAGCTGTTATACACAGACATCGCTAAAACTAGAGAAATTTTTGAAATTTTGGGTTTAAAGGTAAGCAAGCGAATATTAAAATATTGTCTCCTGGAAAAAATACATTGCTTTTCTGGTAATAATTTTGACCATTTTTGTCAGGGTTACAACCAATAAATTATTTCCTCTCTTATCCCAGGACCAAGTTACTAGTTCAAGGTCCTCATAATACGTGAAATCCACTACACCCATATAAAAAGAGTATTTAGGTTCTATGCAAATGGAGTGCAGAGAGACTGAGGTGGTGAAATTCCCCTCCTCTCCCTGACCTAGGGCGGCTGAGCAGTACTGCTGCACACCTCTATATTTAGGGTGAACAGATAGTAACTGTGAAAAAACGGGACAGGGAGTCGGGGGTAATAGGCGCCTATATAAGAAAAAGTCCCCCAAAATGGGACTGTCCCTTTAAAAACAGGACATATGGTCACCCTATCTAGATTGGGCTCAGGATTAATGTCAATGTGAGTCTTGTGGCCTCAGCCTTGGCCCATCTCCGTTGTAGCCTTCTGCATTGACCTACATGGGGCTGGCACAGAGCCATTCTCCACAGTATATAAGTGTGCCTGGGCACTCCACCCAAGCTGAATCAGCTAGGCAGGGACATAGGAGCCGGAAGGACCTTGCTGTATTTTCACCCAACAGTTCTTAAGCCAAATAAGGAAACTCAGAGTGGAATATAAAATAATTTCCGGTCACTTAATCTGGTGCTGCAACCAGAGACGCAATCTGCTGCAGAAAATTCCCACAGCTCTTTTCAAGAAAGTTTTAGGTGACTAAACTTTAACAGAGCTACAGAAATCTCCTGCTGATTCATTTTGGCTCTGACACTTGACATTAAGTTTCATTTCCTGTTGGTTCCAGGTTGGACATATATCATTAGGCTGTGTTGCCCCTTGAAATCACTAAAACAGCCGCCCCAGGAGTCTGCAACTGTCCATATCATATCAAAGAAGGCTTTGAAACGTTTTTAGGTATTTTTAAATACTCCTTTGTAATTTTTTAACGTACATATTCTTACTAATTTTGCTGTGATCATCTAAGTCACCCATCAAAAAACCCCAACTAAAATGGATTTTTTAAAGAACTGACCTCATTGCTGAAAATGAGTATTCAGGCCGATTTCAACATTATGTTGTAAACGTACACCAGCATGTTTTTGCTTTCAGTTCATAACTAACCTTAATCTACCATCCATTTTAGCCACCGATCCTGGGGCCAAACTGTGAATGTATATCCCTGGAGAGCTATTTTCCAGTGTGAGACAACAGGCACCAATGCCTAACCCAACCCCTGGCTCTGCAAAAAACAAACAAAGAAAGAGGAAAAACTGTTTAGTCCCTTTTGATTGTAATCACACAGGACACATGAGTGTTTATGTTCCAATCACACTGATAACCAGGAATAGTGCATTGTTTCAGAGCTGGTCTTTGGGTTGTCATTCAGGAAACCAAAACCACACTGCAATTAGAAGTGAAAATATTTATCCTTAATGGCTTTTAGGAGGTCTATGAGTCAGAGGATCAACTTCAACCTCACCCACGACCAACACTACTCACCTCCATGACCACCTTTCAGCCACACATTGCTTTACAGTATCTCTCCGTAAAATACCTCTATCATCAGGAACATAATGTGGCATCTGCTTTGTCTCAAGATGTAACACCATAGTGTACATAATAAAATATAATTGGTGTGTCTAGAGGAATTTTAGGAAATTTAAACAAGAAAGTTACTTAAACCATGTTTCTCACTTCCATTACCATTTGGTTAAATTCTGCTATCTGGTTTAAGTACCTGCCACCAAGGTCTGGCACCGAAAGGGCCTGAAGAAAGTTGGTTGAGGAAGGAGAATGTTTTCTGGGGTTCAGTTAATTTCCCCATTCATTTTCACTTTTTCTCCCTCTCCACTAATGGGCTCCAACCCTAACAGAAGCAGTAATTATCCGAAATCTCACAAGAAAGGATGCTTTTCAGGAACGTTTTGTCTAGACATTTCAGTTTTCATCTGAAGCTCTGAACCTTCTGAGATGCATCCATCACTGCTCCTTAGATGCTGCACTGAAAATTCCCATGTGCTATGGTTCGTAACCACTGAAAATACCATGCATTAACTAGATAGGTATACACTGGCAATTCTGAGTGCACTGCGCAGCTTAAGTGATAGCTCTGTGGAGGTTTATGAGAGGAACATGAACATTTAGCGTCTACAGGAATAGTAACTACAGAGAAACCTCCAGACAGATTAGCCCCTCACCCCAGCGGCACCTGACCCATCCCACCACCTCCCCACCCCGGTAGCACAAGGACCTTCTCCTCGTAAGACCCTCAACCTTATTTTGTTGGTTGCAGATCAAAAAGGTGGAAACTTTACAAAGGACTCTTGGATATGATGGGTCACATGATGATTTTTCAGTCATTTTGCGGTTTGCAGACTGAACAAGCTGAGAATCTCTGGATGAAATTGGTGTGGGAATATGTGTTAGGATGAAAGTATTAGCCTGTGTACTAGGGATTCACCGAAAAACACATTCAGATGGATAACACCCGTTTTCCAAGTTAGTTTAACCAGCTGAGCAGTAATAAACTTTCTTTAACCTTTGTTGAGTGTCACATCCATGATGATCCTGTCCTTTGGTCCTGGGCCTTTGCGACACGAGGAGAAAGTGTCTCCGTCTTCAGAGCCAGGTGCAGGAGTTCCTCCGCTCGCACTGGAGCTTGGGGAGCTTGATCTGCTCATTAAAGTGGGAGTTGGACATGGGGTGAGGCTCGGGCTGTGCAGTCTCGTGCGCACTGTGAGGGTCACTACACCTTTCTTGAGTTGCTAAAAAAGGAAGAAAATTTATTAGACTATACAGACACCTGACGCACAATAACACATCATCCAGTGAATCATCTGTACAGTCAACTGTGGCAGCGGAAAATAAAACCATGGTGTTAAACTGTTAACCAATGAGAAATACAGTCTCTCTCTCTTACTGTGTCTATAATTCTGTTACCTTAAACGTCTGAATGGCCTCCTGATGGGTCAGCCCTTGTAAAGATTCTCCATTAACTTCTAGAATTTCATCCCCTGGCAATCAGATACAAAAATCAAGTCAGCATTTACACTTGGATAGAGTATAGTAGACAGATACACGACTGCTCCTGGACATTAGCAAAGCAATGGGCTACCACATTGTTTCTGATTTATTATGCTGAAAAAAGCTTTTAATTGTTTTCTATTTATTTCCATTTGCCGTAAGGCCTTTGTAGTTAATATAGTGCTGAAGTAGTGGAGCACAGAATATTCTTCAACCGTGATTCTTCACCTTCAATTTTTATTATAACAGACCAATTGAAAATATTCTGGACTTTAATTGGAGTCAGAATGTTTGGAGTGGAAACTCCCAGTGTGGAGTCTAACAGGGGCCCACGGTCTCTTCACGTTGTTCCCATACTAGGACATCCCAGGAGTTTGGGAATCAGAGTGGAGCATAATGTTATGGCACCCATATGGCCATACAGAGAAAGCTGGCCCTACGCCCACACACAGAACACTAATGGCATTCTACGTAGTACACAGAGTGTTCAGAGAGAAAAGCGAGCTAAACACACAGAGGTGGCTGAGAGTCCATGACACCTTCACCCCAAACAAGTCCCAGAGCTATGTCTGCTTGCTTAGTACTACAAGGCTTTGGGTCACAATACTTTCAACCTGCTGTGTTGAGCTACTTCTTTCGAGGGAGAAAAAGAGAGCAAGATCCAGATCTCTCTTCTCCAGTCTTACACACCCCTACATCTGTGCATAATTAGACAGCGCACTATCATCTCCACCTTTTCCTAATCCAATGCAGAACAGAATACCCAAGCTCTGATTAGTGGAGGATTTTAGGTTTATGGGATATCTGATAACTATTGGCTTCTCAGGGCCAGTGCACAAAGATTACATAGGAGTGCTTTCCTGCAGAAGAGACGGCACTTGCAGTGTTATGTAAACCGGCATTTTAAACCCACGGTCAGTTGGTACCTTTACCAACCAGTCTATATGTGAGCACACACAATGCCATGGCTAATCGATGTGAATCTATACAGCCAATCTGAAAGGCAGGAAAGGTGCTAATAAATCAGGCCATGTCCATACTTTACTAACTAGCGGCATGATCTTATTGTCTTTCTTGTCCTTCCTCTCCTCTTTCCAACCCTGTGTCTGGTTAGACCATTCTCGTCATGTCAGAGCTACACAGTAAGTTCAGCAGGGCAGGGACGGTGTTCTCATATGTTGTATGAAGGTGTCCTGTGCATTTTGGGTGCTCAAAAACACTAAACAACAAGATCCCCAAATCGACCCTCTGAAGTACATTTCTCTGTACACTTCCCCAGGCATGGAAAGGCTTCCTGGGGATTATTCCTTCTTTTATTTTGTTCTCTTAAAGCACAACAAAAACCCAGTAGGTTGAGCGGTCTGACCAACTTTCTTGTTGAACAGATTGATAAGATGAATTCACATGCTGATACCCTTCCATTGGTTTCCAGGCGCACAAGTAAGGCGAGCAGCTATGGTTTTTCAGCTGTGTTGAACTAATTTGGCTCTGTGGCCTTTTACACAGAATTGGATTCTCCCCACTACCTATATAATAAGATTCCAGGAATGTGACTCTGTGTGTGTCATTCTGAGGCCTAAAATGTCTGTTGAATCAGTGTGAAGTGGTGGAAGCAGCTACAAGCATGGCTGAGAGCTACTTTTGTTAGAATATCACCAAACTGAGTCACCACTAGCTTTTGCTGTCTGTTACTGTCCAGTGTTTAAGTTCTCAGCCATTTTGATTTTTACAAATTACACCATGAGGTGTACAGCTACAGTAAGGCATGCCTTTATGCCATGCCAAGAGTCCTAGACCACTGTGATAGCAGAGATAATTCAACCAATTGTCATCCTTACTCTACAGCTAATTTTCATGCAACAATTTAATTGGCTGTCTGAGGGAGATTTCACAGATGATGGATTACTTGACCCAGCTGCCACACCCACGCACCCAACTGCCACCCACACAAATCCACCAGCACAACCACCCACACAACAGCATAACCAATAATCCCCAAAACACATTGCCCTTTACTGTAGCACACCCCCTTCGTTCGCCACCTGTGCAAATCCACACAACTCTCCCAGCACAACCCCCAGACATAAAATCAACACAACCACCCACAGAAGACCAAAAAACAGATTCGCAGTCTGCTACTCTCCAATTTTTAAGTTCTCAGCCATTTGGGGCTTAAATTTTTTTTTTTAAACACACAAGTTTATGAATTACCCCTGTGCAACAGCATGGGTTTTTAGCTTCTAGTACCTTCTTTAAGTCTTCCATCAGCAGCAGCTGCTCCATTTGGGAAGATAGTCTTCACAAAAATCCCCATGCGTCCCCGGGCAGAATCCTGGCCTCCCACAATGCTGAATCCAAGACCCTAAAGAGACAGGAAGAAGTGATATATTGATGGCACCCAACTGTGTTATCACTTATCTCATAAAGGCTGTTTGATAGTCCAAGAGGAAGGAAACATGACAATCTAATTAGCTGATGGTGAATTATGCTGTGATTTTATTCTCCACTCTCCCCTCCTGATCTACTCTCACTCTAATAGTATCACTCAGCCTGAAAGTTGTCATAGTCATCCTTAAATACAGAAAAAGTTTATTTCATGTTATCATGGTGCTATGGTTTTATGTTCGTCATTTCTACTTCTCCAACTATAACAGCAGCCTCCTAAACTGATGGACTGTGGAATTCCCAACCAAGAGACCCATATCCAGGATTAACTGCAATTTATTCTGCTATCACAGATATTGTACTTCCTCAGGAAGGAGAGAAATGTAAAAAGATGACATAAGGTCAGTGTTGTAATGTTAGCAGAAAGTGAGTGTGTGTGTGAACATTTGTTTACTTAAGTAAATAACGAATTCCATATTTAAAGACATGTACGTAAACATTCCCCCAGAGTCTATTCCCCTCTCTGTAAATGCACGTAATTCCTATTACTTTGTTGGCATCCTTTCATCTACAAGAGACAGTGGGAATTGCAGCCTATGCTGTAGATGGTTTGGTCCTATTACTATCAATGGGAATTACAGCCATTAAGATAAACAAACCCCTTCAGAATTATTACTTCATGAAAAATATGGCCATTAAAAATACTACTCTGCTTGTTACACTAGTATCATAAGTACGAGATGAAGTTATTTCAGGATGCCCCTGTAAAATATATTAGCACCTCGTGTACATGCAAACATGATATTGCACACACAGATCATGGGAGGCATTGTGGCCTAATGAAATGCCTGGGGAAATAATCAATCTGGATTCCAGTCTTGGTTCTGACTCTTGACTTTCTATAATTTTTAGGCATTCAGAGTAAGGGTGGTGATTGGCTGACTTACCTCTGCTATCACAATGTTCTAGGCAGATACAGTATAAAAACAGACAGATTTTCTTGTGCAAAGTGGGCTATTGCGAATGCAAACAAGTACTTAGCTGAATGAATACCTGTTTTGCATACTTGCATGCATATCTGTAACCATGCACTCATTCTTATTTAATATTTATATTTCCGTAGTGACCAGCGATCTCAATCAGGATCTGGGCCACAACATGCTAGATACTGCACACAGACATAGGAAGATATCGTTTCTGCCTCATTCATATTTTGCAGGCATGACTTAGGCATTCAGGTTTCAAAACTTGGCTCTTAAGTGTTTATTATTACTGATCATCACATAGAATGAAACAAGCACATGACAGATTTACTTCAACAAACATTCAGAGCTTGATTTTCACAGGCGCTGAGGTTCAGTGGGAGTTGAGCCCAGAAGATCAGGCCTTTGTGATGCTATGCTAAAATCCTCACCTTGCCTTGTCCTTTCATCAGGACAATGTTGGAAATAATGGACGGCTGGGCCAGTCTCCATGGAGATTCTACCTGAGCTGCACTCAGTGAGCGGGTCGATTTCTTCACAATATGGTATTCCTAACGAACATCAGAAATTAAATTTAATTCATTCTGTTTGAATGAAAGAGGCACCAATGTGCTTCATGGGAAAAGTTCTGATATAGTCATGGACTAGACAAAAATTAAAATGGCTATTGTATATTAAAATATACATCTGGTGATAAACTCCTGGCCCTAATGCCATTGACTTCACTGTGGCCAGAATTTCATGTTATATCTATTTAACGTCTTTTATAATGTAACAGTTAACATATTTTTTTTAGTAAACTGAGATACTGTGTAGATTCATGATCTATAGAAGTCATGATCTTCTGAAGTAACAACTATCCCATCATCAACTGAAAGAAAGAAACACACTGTTTGTTTAAATAGTTACAGCTCTTTAACTACAGCATATTCATGCATTACACTGGCACAGTACTTCTGTTTCCCTCAGCAACTACAACAGCCTTCTACTTCCTCACAGCTAAAGGAGTCCTCCTTTAGCTCAAGTGGTAGGTGCTGAAGCCTGGGGTCAATTCCCCATGACACACCTATGCAGCCCCAGTTTGTTACAATCATTTCTAGCAGATTGAGGAAAAACCTTAGACTGAGTAAGGACCTGGGAATTTGGCTGTAAATCATTATTAGGCAGAGTAAATAGTATAACCACTCACCTGCCTTGTTCCTGAGGATTCAAGCTGCTGGGGAAGAGAATGTTTTCTCCCTCCCCGGGAATATTTCACTGCTATTTCATAATTTGATTCACCATTCTCCACGGTCAGTTCATCATTTTCTCCCACAGATTCTAAACGGGATCCAGCCCCTGAGGGACAAACCAGGAATACCATTTATTAGACAAACAGCAGCACCTTTTAATTCTGACAAGCCATGTGATGGTTGGTTTTGTAAATCATAAATAAAACCATACTACGGAGCAGCATCCAGTTGGGTAGCTCAATAATTTCCCATGGAAGAGTTAATTTTGCTTGTTATCAATTACTGATGTGCACTGCATACAATTCAAAAGATGTAGGAGCATTCCCATCTCCATCTCATGCTGACAAAAATGTCTTTAAAAATCTATGGCCAATGCAAAAATCTTAGGTTCTGTGATTAGCTATAGTAAACAAAATGAGATAAAAACAGAGAGTGAGCTGGAATTCTGCTGACTGCACTCATTGGTGTGCACAGCTCACAAGCTTTCTTTATAGCTTACAAAGCTGACACTGTAGTTGCATTCATGTCTGGAAATGTCTCATCATCCTGAAAGTAATTTTTCAGGAATGGAAGAAGGAACATGGTGCCAAAAAACATGATTTGCCTTCCTTTCTGGCAACAGTCCCAGTTGTCTTAAAAAAAAAAAAAAAAAAAGTGAATGTAGAGTTAGTGTAAGGTATTGAATCGTTTGCCTTGAAGGACACCCTGTAATTAGCCAAAAGGTATCCCAGTTTTTCACACTCATCATCAACGTGCCTCCATCACGACCTGAAGAAACCACTCATTCTATCCACCTAAGGCCTTGTCCACACTTACGGCAGTGTGTAGGGCATGTGTAGCTGCACTCCGCAGTGAAAGGCAAGTTGCATCCACACTTGTTGTTACAGCATATAGCTACACATGGCAGTGGACAGCTCAAGCAGGGACAACAGGACTCTACACTGCTAAAAACAACAGTGTGAACACGGGAGACATTACTTGCAAGTGTAGACAGCTGTGTAGGGTATATAACCTACACGGCTGTCTACACTTGCAAGTAATGTCTCCCATGTTCACACTGTTGTTATATAACCCTAGAGTTCAGGTGTAAAGGGCACTCTGCTCTACTTTACCTGCCTGAGCCACGCGTCACCATCTACTCTGCTTGCTGGGCGTGCAACATCTGTACTCTACATGCTTCCCTAAGTGTAAACATACCTTTAGGCCAGGGGTTCTCAACCTTTGTCTTTTTGAGGGCCCCCCCAACATGCTATAGAAATTCCACAGCCCACCTGTGCCACAACAACTGTTTTTCTGTATATAAAAGCCAGGGCCAGTGTTAGGGGGTATCAAGCAGATCAACTGCCCATGGCCCCACACCACAGGGGGGTCCTGCGAAGCTAAGTTGCTTGGACGTGGGCTTTAGCCCCACCACGGCGGGACTCCGGCTTTGGCTTTCTGCCCTAGGCCCCAGTGAGTGTAATGCAGGCCCTGCTTGGCGGACCCCCTGAAACCTGCTCACGCTTCCCCAGGGGGCCCCGAACTGCTGCTTTAGGCGATGTCTGCACTCCCCTACAGTCCGGACTATGGGGATCTGAATAACAATGCTCACCAAAGTGCTGTGCTGTAACTCCCCATGTGGACTCTGCAGGCGTGAACTGAAAGGTTCCTACTTCACATTAACATAGTCCTCTTCAAACAGGAATACAACAAGCCCTTATGCACTTATGTGACCTCATTAACAGTAGTATCCGTGCACTTCAATCTTTTATCCTTACAACACCCCTTTGAGCTCAGGCAGTGCTGTTATACCCATTTTACAGATGGGGAACTAAGGCACAGAGACTGACTTTCCCAGAAGTCTGTGGCAGAGCAGGAAATTGAACCTAGGTCTCCAGAGTCCCAGGCTACTGCGCCAACTACTGAACCTTCCTCTCCTGCCTACTCTACCCTATGCCACTCCCAAACAGGGTGCCAGAGTCACTCTGCCACCCTACTGAGCCTTTGTAGTATTTTATGCTACTACCCTACCAATTTCAATAAGACAATTCACAGGGTAAGGTGCTCAACCTGAGTGGTGGTGGCAGGATCTAGTTCTACACGCACACTGTTTTAAATACAAATAAGTATTCATTTCAATTGATGTGATCATGGGTTGTCTAAATTCTTGGGGGGACATGCAAGCCATTTGGATAAATGGAGAGCCTGTTGACTGGAGGAGGGAGTGATTCCAAACAGACATGGTGATGAGGACGTGTCATTACTGTGATTCAGGTATTTGGAGTTCATGTAAAAGGGAGTTGTACTACTTTCACACTATGTATTGTCAGTCTACTGGAAGGCATGACCTTTTTCTATTTTAGATTTAAGTAACAATAAACAAGCCAGTATTTTGCCCTAATGAATGGAATAAAGTGATGGCGTTTTGAAAAGGCCCCCACCCTCAAGCGAAGAATAGCTCAGTGGTTTGAGCACTGGCCTGCTAAACCCAGGGTTGTGAGTTCAATCCTTGAGGGGGCCATTTAGGGATCTGGGGCAAAAATTGGGGATTGGTCCTGCTTTGAGCTGGGGGTTGGACTAGATGACCTCCGGAGGTCCCATTCCAACCCTGATATTCGATGATCTATGATTCTAAATAAATCAAACCAAATACATAGGAAATTTAAGGAACGGTAAATAAAATTCAGTAATGCAGAATTTTGCTTCATTATTCTGCCAACAACAAGGTTCAACTCAACAAGCTCTGCTGAATGCAAACATTGTGCAGTTCAAATTCCCCATCCAAACCAAACTATCCTGAGGTCCAAAAGAAATAAAACCTAGCTCTGCTTAATAGGTTTCACACCTAGCCCACTCTGTTTGATGTGCAAGAGCTCTGCCGTGGCATATGCTCTTTTATTCATATCTTTTACCAAGCCTGCTTTACCTTGGGATCGGCTTCTGTATTTCAATATACCACCTCCCAGGGTCGGACTTTGGCAATTCCCTTTGGTCACTTCCACATTAGCAGGATCTGGAGACTTATCGGTTTCTCTCATCTGAAAAATAAGAAAAAGGAATATATTGAAGAAACTAGCCACGGTGATGGAATTGCTCTCATTTTTACCAGTGTTTTCTAGTTTGAAGAAAATTCCATGGTACATATTCCACTTACAATTTCTTTTTTTTTTCCCTGAAAGCTTGGAATTCTATTAAACTAGTTTTATGTGAGCCAGAAAATTCAGCAGAGTCTTTACAGATATTTCAATGGATCCCTTTTGACATTACTGAATAACTTCATCCATCCAGCTATATATTTTTAAGAGCACCACCCTGCAGTCTTTACTCATGCAAAATTCTCAGAGAGAAGGAAGTTTAGTCAGGAATACAGGATTTGGCACTGATCATTTTATATAAAGTTGTAGGGCAGATCTCCCTGCTTATTCTCCATTTAGTCAGCTCACCAAACTTCCACTGACCGTCAATGACAGCTTTGTAGGGGAAACCACATAGAAACCATGTTATTTTATTAATATCAATATAGTGAATATTGATGAGTCTGCCATACAAAAAGCTAGCTTAATAGACTGTTGTTAAGATTACACAGCTAAGTACTCAAAAGTCTGGCAAGGTTATACGCACAATCTTAACTCTGATGCCTTGTGCAGATGCATTAGGATGCAGAGCGTTTGATTATTCACTACCTAACATCTTGTGATGTCATCTACACATGTGCAAAGTGGGTGAAAAAGGTTGGCATCTGCATACGTAGAGGTGGCAATACAAGGTGCAATCAAGCTTATAGTCTTCAATGGCATGATCAGATTTGAGAGCCCCACTCCTGCACATGCTGAGAGGCGCACAGCAAATTTGGAACACTCCTTACGAAATGTATAATTAGCCCTCCTCAATATCTGTGCACCCTACAAGATCCACGCCAATGCTTCCCCCAACCCCACAAGTTGTTATGCAGGTGCAGTATTAATATATTTTCCTAGATATGTCACTTCATAATTATCTTTGAAGTGTTCACATGCATTGATGAATCCTCTCTTAGTTGTGCACTTTATAAACGTAGGTAAAGTAGCTAAAATGTATGCTCAGTACAATTTTGGAAGGCTTCTGACATGGGGGAAAAAATCAAAACTCAAATTTCCCCTGGAAAAGCAAAGGAACTTTTCCTCAGTATAGGCTATTTTCCGGACAAATTTCACCTTTCAGGACTCAGGCAATTTCATACTCAAAAATGGCTGAACTGCTTCTGCTCAAAATTTCCCCAAAAGACCTCACTGTTTATGCAGAGCCAAAGCCTGTAAAAATTCTGCTCAACAGTTGAAAGTTTCAGAAAATAATAAGTGACTGATAACAGGCTTGAAATGGAAACTGTTACGCAACCCTAACTCTACCGGCCATAGCTCCTACTACTATAATGCTATACATAATTTTTAAACTTATTTAACACTTACATTCCAGCTATTTCTTGGTGATATTGCAAGGTACCATAGCCGCAATCTCAGGGCTCTATTCTGATGCTAAATGGTTTGTAACTCACACTTCTGTATAATCTAAATGACTCATCTAAAGAGCAAGAGAACTCTATTCTCCTAACAAAATTACTGCATCCAATTTAGGTTGGCTTATATACCCAAGAGGGGATAACTCATTCCAGAAGAGATGCAAGGATCAAGCCAAAAAAAGTCACTGGGACAGGGCCAAAATATCACTTCAGCTCTTCCCAAAAGCTCTCTGCTCTGGGAAAATATGCCTAAAACACAGCACTGCTAGTTAGACCTGATCCAGGACTGCTATAATTTACACCATCCTAATCTATAGTCAATAATTCCTTCCCTGTTCATATATAGTAAACAATCTTGAATCTCATGACAAAAGTCACTTACACTGACATACAGAGTCATATATCTAGTTATTTTAAAGCCCTAAAGAACAACACAGGGATGCCGGGATGCTGCTCACTCTTTCAGGGATGACAGGGCTGTTCATGATTTGTAGCTCAGGGAGCCAGGGAACACAGGACCAGGGATGCTTGAATGCAGGCAGCTGTGTTTCTCTCTGCTCTGCATCTCTATTGCTGTCGTTCACTCACCATGATGTGATGAGCTGTCATGTTAATTTAGCATGCCTGCTGCCTCTGCAGCTTTGGAAAGCTGGAAAGAGTATACAAATGAGGTCACGCCATAATTTACGTATTCATTTACTGTGCATTCTCATTTGCATAAACACCCTACTTTGTATTCTATCCACCCCTGTAAAAGCTATCATCTGCCCTCTTGAGTTTCCTTTTAACCTGCTGGCCTGGTTCCCCTACCACTTTCTCTTGTCCCTCCCCCTACTCCCCCTTCAAATTTCCTCTCTGGCTTTCTCTTCCACTGAGCTTCCATCACACCTACAGCCTGGTCCCTTACAGCTGTAGGGATAAATGAGAACAATGCTCTCCATCACACTACCCAGCTTTGTTCTAGCAATCTGTCTGTCTCTGGGCAGGCTGAAGCCTAATTTCTAGGCATGGTCTTTATAGTTAGAATCCTCCCATGGTGAGATTTCTACGACTAATGAGACCCTGTCTACTGGAGAATGTGGCCACAGAGATTCAGGCTAGAACAATCCCCCTACAACACCATAGCTAAGCAGGAGATTTAAACTACTGGCCTGGAGCAGCCACCACAGGAGGCTTAAACGTCCTGGATGTTGGCAATGTAGGTTTCAGGCTACACTCAATTTGCAGTTTGAGCAAAGGCTCAGGACAAAACGCATGAACCAACTGTTGCAGAATAAGGTAAGACACATTCAGCAATTACGTTAAGTTTGGAGTTGGGAGGGGAGGAAGGAAGAATCCCCACCTCGGTCATTGAAATCAACCCCAGTATTTTGCAAAATTACCTGAATCTTTCCACTGCACCTATGACCATACACTCATATGCAATAACAAGCAAACTATCAATTTGCAAACACCTAGAAGATAACAGAACCATAGAATCGTACGACTGGAAGGGACCTCGAGAGGTCATTTAGTTCAGTCTCCTGCACTCATGGCAGGACTAAGTATTATCTAGACCAGTGGTGTCCAATACGTTCGTCACTAGCCACATGTGGCTAATAGGCTATAGAATTGTGGCTAATGCATGTGGCTTTTTTATAATGTGGCTAATAAGAAAAATTCAAAACCACAAGTGTGGCTAGCAGTGTGGCTAGCATTGAATTTCTATTGGACACCGTGGATCTAGACTATCCCTTGCTATGTGGGATATCTTGATTTTAGTAAGGCTTTAGATACTGTCTCACATGATCTTCTCATAAACTAACTAGGCAAATACAGCTTAGATGGATCTACTATAACTGATTGGAAAACAGCTCCCAGGGAGTAGTTATCAGGGGTCACAGTCAAACTGGAAGGGCATATCAAGTGAGGTCCTGCAGGGATCAGTTCTGGGTCCAGTTCTGTTCAATATCTTCATCAGTGATTTAGATAATGTCAGAGAGAGTACACTTATAAAGTACCAAGCTGGGATAGGTTGCAAGTGCTCTGGAGGACAGGATTAAAATTCAAAATGACGAAAAACTGGAGAAATTGTCTGAAGTAAATAGGATGAAATTCAATAAGGACACATGCAAAGTACTCCACTTAGGAAGGAACAATCAACTGCACTCACAAAATGAGAAATGACTGCCTAGGAAGGAGAACTGCAGAAAGGGATCTGGAGGTTATAGTGGATTGAAAACTATATATGAGTGAACAGCGTAACACTGTTGCAAAAAAAATGCAAACATCATTCTGGGATGTATTAGCAGGAGTGTTGTAAGCAAGACAAGAAGTAATTCTTCTGTTCTACTCCATGCAGATATAGCCTCAACTAAAGTCTTGTGTCCAGTTGTAGGTGCCACATTTCACAAAAGATGTGGACAAATTGGTGACAGTCCAGAGAAGAGCAACCAAAATGATTAAAGGTCTAGAAAACGTGACCTCTAAGGGGAGATTAAAAACTTGGCTTTGTTTAGTCTGGAGAAGAGAAGACTGGGGGGGTGAGAGTGGAGGAGGGGAGGGGCATGATAACAGTGTTCAAGCAAAAAAAGGTTGTTACAAGTAGGAGGAAAAAATTGTTCTCTTTAACCTCTGAAGATAGTACAAGAAGCAATGGGCTTAAATTGCAGCAAGGGAGATTCAGGTTAGACATTAAGAAAAACTTCCTGTCAGGGTAGTTAAGCACTGGAACAAATTGCCTAGGGAGGTTGTGGAATCTCCATCATTGAAGGTTTTCAAGAACATGCTGGACAAACACCTGTCAGGAATGGTCTGGTTATTATGTATTCCTGACTTGAGTGCAGGGGACTGGACTAGACCAGTGGTTCTCAGCCTTTCCAGACTACTGTACCCCTTTCAGGAGTCTGAATGGTTTTGTGTACCCCACGTTTTGCCTCACTTAAAAACTACTTGCTTACAAAATCAGGCATAAAAATACAAAAGTGTCACAGCACACTATTACTGAAAAATTGCTGACTTTCTCATTTTTACCATATAATTATACAATAAATCAATTAGAATATAAACATTGTACTTACATTTCAGTGTATAGTATATACAGCAGTATAAACAAGTAATTGTCTGTATGAAATTTCAGTTTGTACTGACATCACTAGTGCTTTTTATGTAGCTTGTTGTAAAACTAGGCAAATATCTAGATGAGTTGATGCATCTCCTGGAAGATCTCTGCGTACCCCCAGGGGTACGCATACCCCTGGTTGAGAACCACTGAACTAGATGACCTCTTGAGGTCCCTTCCAGTCCCACACTTCTACGATTCTATGGTTCCATATAAGCCATGCAAAGAGGAAACACCCAAACTGTGTGTGATGTCCCGAAGGTCAATTGCGTGCAAATACAAATGATTAAAATAAAGCCCCAAAATATTCTTACTGGCTTCCTGGATTATATTATATCCAACTTGGTTTCAGATTACTATAAAAAGTAACAAAGAACAAGGTAATTTAGATATTCTTTCTTCTTGTAACAAAACAAACGTTTATTTGACACAGGCTATAAGCC